GATTCATGTCACAAGATTAGGTTTTGGCACTTTAAACCAAAAGTAATTGGTTTACTTTTAGTCTATTGTATGATATTTTGAATGTATATATATGTCTGAACTTGACACAAGTATTTCTTCCTGACTTTCCCTGGGTCCTTATTTTACAAGAAATTAGTAATTTTTAGATCTTCACAAAATTGTCATTTATTACAATTGAATAAAAGTTTAATGGAATATTTTACGTCTCCTAAGCTATCTGACCAGAATTAGCCATCTGGTGGTGAAACTGGTAACTACCTACTAGCAACTATGTAAATAATCTGAAAATTTTTATACTACAATGCCATGCTCCATCTATTGTTCAATAAATGCAGAATTAATATAATTGAACATTTAAATGAATATGAGCTTGAGCCTATGATCAAATGTATTTAACTTTTGAAATTGATTGTTTTGACATTTTACAAATGACACTGACCTGGTCAGTTCATGTAGGATTAAAATACCTACTACTGAAAATCAGTTCTAAATTCAACAACTTTTTCACCATCATTTGCATTATACCAATTATAAACAAAGTACATCGTACGTTTGATTGCTACGGCTTTTTACTTCTTTTTACGTATGTTTTTTTGGTGTGTTTTGAAGGAACAATAAATTACCACTAAACATGCACGAGTATCATAGTATTTTCATTCAAAGTTGCTATGAACACACTCTTTATTTCTGTAGAATAAGGTCATAATTTCTACTGAATGTCCCATATAATTAATAATATCATTTCTTGTATTTACATAAACAAACTATAGAATATAGCTTGGCTTGGCTATTAGATATGGTGAAACTTATATTTTATGTAGTGTAGCCAGGATCTAAAGTTAGGCGTGGCAAATGTGAATAGGTGAGGCAAATGTGAATAGGTGAGGCAAATGTGAATAGGCTGTGTTCTCCCTGACTGAAAAATGCGTGGCGTTCGCGCCACGCACATTGTGGCTGCGCCACGCTGATTTATTGCGCGCCACACATTTATTAACAGCGCCACGCATTAGACTTTGACAGAAAAATTTCCCAAAGTGAAAATAGAAATTGAAAAAATTCAAAGTTTTAATCACATCAAAATCTCAGCCCGTTTTACTTGAAAACGATACAAAATGCTCTATTTAGATAAAGAAATGTCTGTACTTACCTTTCTTGCACTAAAGAATCTTCAATTTACCTTCTATTTTGATAAAAAACAGTTTGATTTGCACAGAAATGAAACATGTTTTTTCTAGGTCAGGACTCACAGCCTCCGATTTTGAAGAGTACACTGAACGAAAATGAACATGTGTGCACATTTTCCCGGGAATTTCGGACTCAATAATTATAGTTGAATTATATTGAAGAAATATGTGGCCACATACTGAAAATTATTTTGTATATTGAACTTTATATTATATTATGGAAATAAATATTAAATTGAACATTGAATTAAAACAAACCTCTGAGCATTTATATTGCAACATGGCCTATTGTCATTAAAGTAGATGATTATACAGTGCTAAATTTCATTTGTTTTGATGTTATGTAATTTCATAACATCAAAACAAATGTTTAGCATATTTATATCAATTGGCTGTTGATGCAAATGATTGAGATTAAGTAACTCCGCGAAGCGGCGCCGATTTTTTTTAAGCACGTTTTTGTAAACTTATCACCACCCTAATAATTTGGCCACCACCCATCAATTTTTATTGAAACTTTTTCACCACTCACTTTTGAAAAATTAGGGAGAACACTGATAGGTGAGGCAAATGTGAATAGGTGAGGCAAATCTGAATAGGTGAGGCAAATCTGAATAGGTGAGGCAAATGTGAATAGGAGAGGCAAATGTGAATAGGAGAGGCAAATGTGAATAGGTGAGGCAAATGTAAATAGGCAAGGCAAATGTGAATAGATGAGGCAAATGCCAATAGATGAGGCAAATGTGAATAGGTGAGGCAAATGTAAACAGGTGAGGCAAATCTGAATAGGTGAGGCAAATGTGAATAGGAGAGGCAAATGTGAATAGGGGAGGCAAAATTTTGTTGAGGCAAATAAAAACAATTCTTGAAATCCACTCATGCTGCTTTATTCAGCGATAATGAACAACTACACTGATAACACCAGATGCAATGTTAATAAATAAGCGACAAAACTTATCAAATGCTCACTTGTGAACTATCACGAAATTCCAGATCAATAGGTATGCAGGGAATTCAGATGTCGTCTATTTATATTTGACGAAGTAAAACGCAAGAAGAAGCATGATTTATTGCGTTAGAATACAATAGAATACAATATTAGACATATTATTGCAAAACGATTACGAGGGACAGTCATTGGTTTCAAATATCCTGATTATGTTAGACGCAGTCTTACCTCTAAGTGCAAAGGCAGAAGTTCGAGAATTTAAAACAGATTTCAGATTTCCTCTTGAAAATCTTACAAAACACAAGTATCTGACAACAAACAAGCGGAGTCTTGAGGTGTCTAGGTGAGTGACAAATATGAGATGAGATGGTTGACTAGAAAAATCATTTTCCGTGCCAAAACAAAAATTCTGCAAAAAAAGTGAAAATGCAAATTTCTGTGGTTTTTCTGCGGCGACGCGGAATCAGGGAATACTAGTATGAGTGTTTAATTGCTTATTTTTTAGATTCAAAGTTGTTCCAAACATTTAAAATTTTACTGTAGTTCGACTTTATTTATATAGTAGCAGTCAAAAAACATATATTTTTATAAAATTTTTGTGCAGCATTTGCCCTCTTGCCTCATGTCAGGCCCAGCCCATGTATATTCATACTTTTACAATTTTTTTAACATTTTTCATTGTTTGCTTTTGAGCTCAAGTTTAATCCCTTACATCAACCGCATGCAGCTTAGCATAATGTTTTCTAGATTTTCTGTATCCAATTTAGTATAATTGTTAGTACAGTACAATTCTTTTTTTTAAATAGATTTAAAGAATTAATATAGAATGAATTAAAATCTGCAAAGTATTATAGTATTAAAATAGAATGTTAGTTGTTTTATTGCTAAATCCTCTTTTTTGTTCATGTATTTAGTTCATGTATGATATTGATGTTTTCTTTTCTGGTCATTCCCTCACTGCATGATCTCTGAGTGCACACATTCAAGATATCCATGGTACTAACTTACTATATCCCAGCATTCTTTAGTCCCATACTTGAAATCCTTTAATCTGATTGGCCAATTGATTGTCATGTGAGTAAAATCGTCCCTAAACATAGACTCCTTCTAAGTTGCATCAGTTTTCAGAATGATCAAAAATTGAAGAATGAATGATTCTAAAATGTGTGAAGTTTACTATACAGTCTGCAAAGTGAACTCTTGTACTTGTTTGTGAAATAGATTTCCTTGTAAAATCTAACAAATTTTGAAAAAAAAATCAGAAGATTACTTTTTGTTGATGTATATAGAAGCTAACGACATCTACACAATCGATTTAATGTTAATGAAGGAGGAATAGGATCGGATACTGTTTTGTATAATCTGAGGAGGTGACACTAAAAGTGGGATTTAGTTTAATCTTGAGATGGGTTCAAAATCATTCCTGTACAGATACTACTATTATATTTACATATACAGGTGAGAGTGATGAGATTACTATGAAATTACTATGTATATATTGTTTACTATGTTTACAAATGACAGCTTTATAGTTGATAGCCAGCTTTTGCTAAAGGGAGGTTGTGGATGATTTTATGCATGACTGTCTTGTTTCAGACTTTAAATGAAAGTAAAGGCCAAATTCAAAGGCTAGGAGACAAAACATGAGTGCATTAAATCACCAACAATTCATTGAGTTGTGAGCTTTGTTCTTTTCACATACTTTTAATTTGGTGCCGACTTTAATTTGGTAAAGGTGAAATAGAAAAAAGCCAATTTACATCTTCACCAAATTAAATAGCACCAAATTAACCCAATCTAAAGTATTGCTCAAGATTTTAAAAAATACATAATTTATCCAGTTTTTTCAAGTTTGATATTTTGACCCGCAAGCACTAAACATTGTAAGTTTTGTATTTAGGTTGCTAAATATGGGATATGCACATCTTTTAAGGCAGAATCAGATCTACAGGGGTGAAAAAATTACAAGCAACATGGACAATTGACCTATAATCTATTCTTTATAATCTCAAATACCATATCTCCCAAAAGATTCACGATGTGTTTTAAATTGGTGAAGTTATTATGGATTCAAAGTTCAAAAATGGGTGACAAATATGTAAATTCTCCCAAATAATAATAATGGTAACCATTATTATAGAAAAATAGTTATTGTAAAAATCTTTAGTTTCCTTGAAATAAAATGTGCACCTTAGGAATTTTTAGAAAATAAACATGACAAGGAATGACATGAGCCAGAAATATTCTAAAATTGAAACAATTTTTTGTTGGCCTGCTCGCTAGATCTGATTCTCTCTTTAACTTAGGATAAGCCCTATCTATCTAAAACTTCCAGTTCACCTAATGTCATGCCATTATCATATGTTAGGATTATCAAAATCTAGTAAGTTTAATTGTTATTTTCTCTATGATTCAGGTGGTGAACTGACATCATAACTGTTATTTTCTCAATATATCCAGTTGTAAACTGACATCAGAATTGTTATTTCTCTATATTTCCAGTGGTAAACTGACATCATGATTTTTATTTTTTCTATATTTCCAGTGGTAAATTGACATCAAAATTGTTCTTTTCTCTATATATCCAGTGGTGAACTAACACCATGATTTTTATTTTCTCTATTTTTCCAGTGGTAAACTGACATCATAGTTGTTATTTTCTCTATATTTTCAATGGTAAACTGACATCATAATTGTTATTTTCTCTATATTTTCAATGGTAAACTGACATCATAATTGTTATTTTCTCTATATTTTCAATGGTAAACTGACATCATAATTGTTATTTTCTCTATATTTTCAATGGTAAACTGACATCATAATTGTTATTTTCTCTATATTTCCAGTGGTAAACTGACATCACCAAGATGGAAAACATTCAAAGGTCTCAAGCTGATGCTAAAAGACAAGATACGATTAAACAACATGATTTGGCGGGAATGGCATATGCAATGTGAGTAGCGAGAAACCAGGTTTTATTACTTTGTGTTATGTACAATGACATGAATAAATATTTAGCTACTTTCAAAACATCTTCCGATCTCAGGGCTTCAAAATCCAGAATGTATTCTTTCTTTTTACCCCCTGCGATAAGCAGTTAGCATTTCCCTGATTAAGAACTCGCAATCTGATTGGCTGTCGCAACACTGCGACAGAAACCATGTACAAGTCATTTCGCATAATTAGATCACGTGATTCAGTTTAATCGGGCGCTTCCAAATTGGTTATAGCAGGGGGAAGAAGGAGGTACGGATTCTGGATACCTGCTTAGGAGGATGCTTTCAAAAAGTCAATTTCATCAAATTAATATGTTGACATTACTGATTCATAATTTTTTTCTTTTTGCAATGATTGCATAGATTTTAAAAATTCTAATAATTATTCAGAATCTAGTCCCTAATGTAACAGAACTGAAGTTGTTGCTTGGAAGGTATTCCTTAATAAAAAATGAATTGTTAATAAAAAATCTAATTCCATCAGTCATTCCTTGTTGACAGAAATTATTTGAAGTAAAATAAAATAAGTTATTGTCACAATTACATGAAATTCAAATACATGTACATGCAAAATGTCAGTTTCAGTAATACTTAATATTATGTAACCATAATTTAGTAATGGTTATTTTCATATAAAGATTTCTAGAATTTATACAGCATTAGAAATTGCTAAAGAGGATAAGTATTGTTGATTATAAAGTGTTTTTTTATTCTAAAGCAAAAATTACAAAATAAATGTTATTCAGTTGATTTTCTCCCGAATTAATTTATATCCAAAATCAGTTTCATCAAAATGAATCAATCAAATAATTGAGCAATTTTAAGATGACAGTTTTGTAAGAATTAACAGTCCAAATATATACCAATAATGCTGTACAGTGTATATTACTTATGTTCCCTAGAAAAATGGAAAATATTTCAAAATTAAGTTGAGTCAATCAACACTTAAGAAAATAAATCACTTGCTGTTAAATGAGTCAGAATCATTCAATTAGTAATAAAAAACATGAATTGCGTTCCAATTCGAAAATATTTAACCTCCAGTGCCTATACATTCTAAAGAGACTGAATAAGTAATAAATAAACACAGATTTTGCTTTTTATTTTAAATCTAATTTTAAGTGCCTCCATATTAAAAAGAGCCACAATTAGAAATAAATTTAGAAGAGAAATACATGATGAACAAATAGAGATACTCAAAGAACAGAAAGAAATACAAAGGAAACAAAAGAAACACTACAAACAAAAATACAAAATTAACAAAGATAAATGTACTGGAGTAAATAAACTTCAATTTTGCTTCTTACTTAATCTTAATCTAACCTGCAGAGCTGTATTAAATAATTTTCTAACATGCTGCCATTTTATGTCACCACCATAAGTAGTAACATATTGTTAATCTCCAACTTTTTTTCTTGGTAGCATTGGCTTGTCAGCATGTGGTGTCTGTAACAAATGGCAGGTGGTGACATTTTGCCATTTCATTTTTAACTAGTGTTTATCATCAGGTGTTCATGCAGGTGGTGGGACACACATACAGTAAAACCTGTCTAATCCGAACACCATTAGGACTAGCCAGAAATGTATCTCTTAGAATGCAGGGGTTTCACTAGAATTTCTCACAACAAGCTAAATAAATTAAAACAACAAGCAAAATTAATGGAAATCATACATTTAACATGGAAAAGTTGAAAAGTCCCTAAAAACAACAGGTGATTTTGTGAAAACAACTGGTAAAAATCGTCTGTTTCCTGCTACTAATGAAATCTCTGGAATGGTAGTTAATGGGACATAACAAATTTGGAAATGTTCACAGGAAGTGTACATGAAGAGGTGTTCGGATTAGAGATGTGTTTTGATATACAGGTTTCACTGTATAGACATAGGAAATATATCCAGACGGACTTGTTACTCCATCTCAACTGCAGTTTGCTGTTGTTTTACAGATATTCAATTCAAGAAACCTGTGGTGTCCCAGTTTGCAACTCCAATCACAGATGAGTCGCACTCTAAACCAGAGGTGAGTATATTAACCCCCCACCCCCTCCCATTATGGAATATTCCATATAAGTGTACCCAGTATTTGTTATTTTATTTTCATCAAAACACAATTTTTGCTGCAAAATGTAAAATTGTTGAATTGAGTGCCATCTATCTAACATTTTCAAAGCTCCTTTAATTTGTCAGATCTTCCATGTAAATAGTCCATCCTATCAGCGTTTGGATCTGTCTAACTACTGTTTCACCCTTTTCAGGCGGTTGTGTTGGAAGGGAAATACTGGAAGAGAAGGCTAGATACAGTCACCTGCGAATATCAGAAATGGCGGGAATTTTTTAAATTGCGTATTCAGCGGGAGTATCAAAGAAATAATGAGGTAACTTTTTTAATATCATTAAAAACATTCCTTGTTTACAAAAAATGTTAAAAAAATGTGTAGGAAATGTTCACTCTTTAAAATTAGGCTTGCTGAATATGCCATTTACAATTGAGCATAACTGGGAAATAACTCAGGATATTTTATGTCACATGACACATATATTCAACCAATCACAGAAAGGGAGACAACAGCGCGTATGGTGAAGTGATAATAAAAAGATAACTGCTTATCAGTTCAACGTTCTGGTTTTGGGCATACTTGGTAAATTACACGGTGGCCATTTTGAATTTTTCAATAAAAAAAGTTGATATATTTATCACTTTGTCATGATCTACTCTCTTAAACTTACCTAAATGTTTTTAGAATGAATTAAAATATTTTTTGACGCTGATATTGTAGGATGTACCAACTGAAGTTCTGTTGGACAGGGTGGCCCAGCAAAATGTTTTCCATCTCATTCAATCACACAATATGCAGACGGATGATATGCAGTTGTTAATGGATGATGATTACGCCATGGACCTGTCAGACACACTTTTCTCAACTCTTAATCAGCCGTTTCAGTTCCCAAACCCTAAAGAGATGTGTATGTATAAACGTCTTATATAGATGGAGCTGTGGTGCATGGTTCAAGGTCACATATTGAAATCTCTACAATAAGATGAAACTTTAATTTTAAAATAAGAACTAACTTCATTCTGAAAAATGAGAATTGTAGAATTGAATATAAATGGTCACTTTTTCTACAAATTCAAAGTGCAATATTCATATATTCAAAATTCTTTTGATAAAGGAATTTTTCAATTGGTTTTTGATTGTGTGAAATCATGAATCTTCTTAAAAGAATTCTCCTCCTAAATTTCTTCTTGTTTTCTACATTCTCTTTTGAATGAAAAATCTGGCAGTGAATCATTTCATTTTCAATATTAACTCCCTTTGTTTAAGTATTGACTTCCTTGGCAAAAAGGATATAGCATGAATATATGTGACCTTGGACACCTGTATGCCAGTGAGTGTACTTGTAATTTGCCGTGAAGTAGAACTATAGAAACAAGACGAGGTAATACCCCAGAATTCATAGATGAGTTTCTAGAGATTATCTTTACATGGAGATAGGTTTATCTTAGAATTCTGGGTTATTCCCCCCTCTTTATAGAACTTTGATGTTGTCTTCCTTAGTTTTGTGTAACTTCACAATTTCCACTTTTTACAAATCTTTGCACTGTTACCTTGGTGAATAACATCACTAAAACAACAAACCTTTCCTCAATCACCTAGCAACAAGGATCACTTTTTACACTCCCCTTCATAAGTTTGGCAAGTTTTCATTGGATAACATATCAAAGACTGTCAATGTTTGAATCTATATTGTCCCTCAATTACAAAAGTGGCAAATTTGATGATTTTTTGGGAATCTTCAAACATTGACATGCTTTGATATGTGATTCAAAAAAGGACTACTTGTTGTCAGACTTTTGGAGGGGAGTTTACCACAGGATTCAGTAACTCACTGGCTTTTAATCCATGGAAAAAATCACCTACTAATTCAACAGTGATAAAATGTGAAATGGCACGTGAGGGATGGTACATAAGGGGAGAAATAGTACCTAAGAGGAAAAATAGTACCTAAGGGGAGAAATAGTACCTAAGAGGTGATTCTTGAGGAAAGGTACAAATAGTTTGTTTCTTATCATCATGGTGGCCATTGAACTTAAAACATAGAATATAATAAAGCCATGAAATTCCTTAATGATTGGAACCACGTAAAATAGGTATGCAGCTTGGATCACCGTGGCAATATGTCTGATCCATTAAGCTGCGTGCCCATGATCATGACGTGTCCTGCTATCTGGCCATCACACTGTGCTTTCAGCTTGCGACACAATCACCGAGGAATCAAAACGGCAGAATTACTATCATGTCCGCAATCTGCGAAGTCTAGAGCCAAAAGTTTTCATTGATAAGCGTAGTTCCCGCGGTTCTGGAAGTCACGGCAATGCACCGTACAGGAAAGGTCGGCACCCTGGTTGGCTAGCTTTCTAACTATAACACATAATACTTGTCTTTTCAATTTGGGCGGAATCATGGAGTACAGTATAAACCTGTGAAATCCCAACGCTGCGGGCACCAGCCAAAATTGTTAAGATTGGCATGTGTTCACATTTTACATTTTTTAACATGGTTCTTAATAGCAAATTAAAAAAGGGACCTAAAACTGTTTATACATTGAGAGGTATTTAAATCAGAAATGTGTTCGGGTATGCAGGTTTTACTGTAGATCATGAGAAATAAGAAATATGTATAAGTTATACATATTATGATTATATTTGATTGTTCATTGAAACTTATTGAGAAAATGAGCACTGTGAAAATTTTATATGATGGTAAACATTTCCCATATCGACTAAAATGTTGCTTTTCCATCTTGGTTTTTTTTTGGATGTTATGCCTACACCTTACAAATCATCAGTCCATCTTTCAATCACTCAAAAACTTGTTCGCCAAATTAAGTTAATATTTTAAGGCAAAAATGCTCAAAATACTCAATAGTAGATATTTATAAATGGCCACCATTTCAATGTTGATTTTGCAGTTTAATATAACATTTTACATGTTTGATGGGATTTCCTTTAATATAACTATGCCTTGTCTTTGTCTTTCAAGCTTTACTGCATTCTTTTTGCACACACCTGATACAATACCTAATAAGTCTACTAAGACTCTAGAATATGCATTTAGAAATATTTTATCGATTTGACCCACTTTGTTGATTTCAAATTTTTTGGCTATCACATTTCAAGTGCTGTTTATTTTTGAAAATCAAAAGGAGAAGAACTGACCGTTTCATTTTGTACTTGTTGTATTGTATCATTTCGTCCATTTTGTGTTGTATTCCACCTTTACCTTTCACACAAGACACTATTAAACCTCTCACATTTTGAACCATCTGAATCTGCATGAACAAACTACAGTAAAACCTGTCTAATCCAAACGCTATTTGGACCAATCAAAAGTGTTACGATCAGCAGTTGTTCACATTTTATGTGTGATTTATAAGTGATTCAATGGAAGAAAACAAATTTGGGACAACGACGAAATGTTCAATTCAAGAGGTTCTCTGATTAAAGATGTGTCCAGATAAACAGGTTTTACTGTACTCTTGCTTTTAGAAAAATCCCAGTAGCTAGAGAGGCTGGACATATTTATGTATTAAATTGGCTTTATTAAGGCTTTTTTTAAGTTAAAGTGACTTAGTTAGATAATATGTCCTCTGAAATTGAGCAATTTTTGCAATTTGACACATAACAAACCAAAACACAAATGTAAAGCTCTGTATCTTTTCTCTAAGACAAATAACTAATCTACCACCATTTTCAAATTGGTGGTGGGGTCTTGAATCTTGTATTAATGATATTATAATTTAAAGGAATCAACAAAGACATTCTGTTATAATTATTGAATTTTAAGTCACCAGTCCATTTCCAAATGCATTTGTGTGTTCTGTGCTTGCAGCTCACTTTGGCAACGCAGATATAATCCAGCCTGGCCTTGTTCAGCTTCAGCCTAGCCTAGATGACTACATGATGGACACATTTGAACCATTACATGGTAAGTAGCCTAGATGACTACATGATGGACACATTTGAACCATTACATGGTAAGTAGCCTAGATGACTATATGGTGGACACATTTGAACCATTACATGGTAAGTAGCCTAGATGACTTGATGATGGACACATTTGAACAATTACATGGTAAGTAGCCTAGATGACTATATGGTGGACACATTTGAACCATTACATGGTAAGTAGCCTAGATGACTATATGGTGGACACATTTGAACCATTACATGGTAAGTAGCCTAGATGACTCAATGATGGACACATTTGAACAATTACATGGTAAGTAGCCTAGATGACCACATGATGGACCCATTTGAACCATTACATTTGAACCATTACACCTTTACATTTAGGAATGATTTTAAGAACTTTGTACTGTTTGGGGACACCCGATATATGTTAATAAGAGCTTTGTACTGTTTGGGGACACCCTGTATATATTCATAAGAGTGTTGTACTGTTTGGAGACACCCTGTATATGTAAATTAGAGCTTTGTATTGTTTCAGACATGTTGATGGGAAAAGCTGTTACATCCAGTCAGACGAATATGTTGATTGACAGTCTGCCACCATCACTACAGGTAATTTAACCCCCTCCCCTCCAACTTAAAGCTCCTCCCCTCTAGTAAAAGAATATGTTGATTAACAGTGCCACAAGCACTGCAGTTAACTTCCCTCCCCTCCTTCTAAAGGGCCTCCCAGTAAAAGAATATGTTAATTGACAGTCTGCCACCAGCACTACAGGCAACTTTAACTCCTCCCTCCTGTAGAACAATATGTTGAGTGACAGTCTGCCACCAGCAATACAGGCAACTTTAACCCCTCCCTCCAGTAGAACAATATGTTGATTGACAGTCTGCCACCAGCACTACAGGCAACTTAAGCCCCTCCCCTTAATTAAAAGAAGATATTAATTGACGGCCTGCCACCCTCTATACAGTTAAATTCCTTTCCTTAAGTACAAAGAATTGATATAAAAAGAAGCAATAAGAACATTAAAAACATAATTCCTAGTGTCAAAATTTATACTGTAACTATTTCATTTTAGAATTGGGGATCACAAACAAACTGCTCAGAGGTACTTGGTTATTTTTGCCTTATTTTGTGCAAAGCAACTTTTTGCTTCAACCTGAGCTATGCTTTAATGGTGCCTAATATGCAGTCTGAGATTTCAGAGAGTACTTTGAATACGTTATTGATGGGTTTGTGGGCTAATATGCAGTCTGAGATTTCAGAGCGTACTTTGGTTATTTAGGGGTTTGTGGGCTAATATGCAGTCTTTACATTTCAAGGATACTATTGAAACATTATTAATGGGTTTGTGGGCTAATATGCAGTCTGACATTTCAGAGAGTACTTCGGATATGTTATTAATGGGTTTGTGGGCTAATATGCAGTCTGAGATGTCAGAGAGTACTTTGGATACGTTATTGATGGGTTTGTGGGCTAATATGCAGTCTGACATTTCAGAGAGTACTTCGGATATGTTATTAATGGGTTTGTGAGCTAATATGCAGTCTGAGATGTCAGAGAGTACTTTGGATACGTTATTGAGGGGTTTGTGGGCTAATATTGCAGTCTGAGATTTCAGAGCGTACTTTGGTTATTTAGGGGTTTGTGGGCTAATATGCAGTCCTGACATTTCAAGGATACTATTGGTATATTATTGATGGGTTTGTGGGCTAATATTGCAGTCTGAGATTTCAAGGAATACTCTGGATGCGTTATTGAGGGGTTTGTGGGCTAATATGCAGTCCTGACATTTCAAGGATACTATTGATATATTATTGATGGGTTTGTGATCTAATATGCAGTCTGAGATTTTATTGAGAATTTTGGATATGTTATTGAGAATTTTGTTGAGTTTTCCTGGGTCTTAAGTTTGGGGTACCCCATGAACATTGAAAATAGTTCATTTTGTTTTAAAATCATATTTTTGATTATTTGCTGGAAATAACACAAAGCAATGTTTGGCTTAGGAACATCATTCATTGGACTTTTGCATAAGGACCTTCAATCTTAGGATATCAGTTTTACTAATGGTAAAAACTTGAACATTGAAACTTTCAAAACTGATCTCGACAGATACTGTTAAAAAGTGAATGTGATTCATATATAATGATTATTACTCTAATTGGCTTTGCAGTATTTTTTTTGAATTAGCGTCCACACATTTGTGCTTAATAGATGTGAACATAGCTGTCTATTTGAATTATCATGTTTGCTTTTCTTTGCCACTGGTGGCAATCTGCAGTGATGCTTACAACATCTCTGTATACAGTATATCTCTATAGCAATATTACAACATCTCTATAGCAATATTACAACATCTCTATAGCAATATTACAACATCTCTAAAGGCCTCTAGAGTTAATTAAATTGAAATTGCTATGGGCCGATGAAAAAATGTCACTCTACCTTGATGGGAAATGAACCAACAACCTCCCAATTTGATCTCGGGTGATCTAGCCCTACAAGCTAGGAGGGCAAGGTCAGAAATTTCAATGCCATTGTGAATGTTATACAATAAAACCTATCTAATCCATCAGGAGCTGCTCAGATTAAAGAGGTGTTTGGATATACATGTTTTGCTATATATATTATAATTATTTTTCAACTAAATGATGTATGAAGGGGATAAACAAAAGCTCACAAGTCCAATGTCTGCCAGGCAGACGATATATGTTTGAAATATAGCTGCTGCTCAATGTTATAGTTTTACAATAGTAAATTTTCAGAATGGCTGTTGCATTTATGATAAGCTTAATAAGTCATTACTCTTGACTCTTTTGGCTTACTCTAACGCAATTTATTATATTTTCTCATATTCAATTAGGCTTATGTATTTTTTTGTCTGGGATCTCATCTGCTTAAGATAAATATTCAAAATGGCCACCATTAGCACCATTGGTCTTCAGGGGCATGTTTCAAGTATAGATATTCATATCATATCAAGTCCACATAATGTAACCAGCTCTAGTTAACTGTATAAGAAAAATAATCGCATGTTGGCAAACTGATAATGTTTGAAAGATATATTGATACTCTTATGTTTAAATAAAAATATAGTGGAATTGAATTAATTTGATGTCATTATTTCAGAATGAACTATTCAAATGAATTTGATGTCATAATTTCATAATTTGGTGTCATTATTTCAGAATCACCTATTCAAATATACCTGATGATGTCATTATTATTTTATTCCTTGATGTCATTTTTCAGAATCATTAATCAAATATATTTGATGTCACTATTTCATTCCTCGGTGTCATTATTTCAGAATGACCTATTTGGGATGTCACAACAGAGTGTTGATGCGCAAGTAACACCATTTATAGACTCTAGCAACAACCTGCCAGCATTCAGTGGACAGCTTGAGGGAACATTTGGCAGCCTCAGCAATCAAATCCTAAACGAGCAAATCCTAGAGCAGGCCTTACTGCAAGCTCAGGTGAATAGTCAGCTGCAAACTGTCAATACGGCACAACTGAATTCTGCAGTTAGCCCAGTCAGCCAACAGCAACAAATTCAGAGCTCATTACTGCAGTCAGGCCAGCTTGGCAACCAGAATGTCAACCAACAACTGGTTCAGCCCATGATGCAAGATAACACAGTCTTTAATACAGCCTTTAACCAAACACAGGACTCTACTAGTCAACTATCAACGAACTTGCTCAACGGAGGAGAAAATCAAATAAATCAGTTAAACTCAAATAGAACTCTATCCATGGGGTTGAGTACAATTTCTGACTCTTTCAGCCAGTTGGTTGGTAATAGTGCCACTGAGGCACCCTCTGTGAGACAGAGAAGTCTGTCAGGGGGGTCACTGCCCTCACTTAAGGTCTCCAATAACAGGAGCCAGGGGGTGCCATCTGCAGCTGCCACTCTTGCATCTGCCGCTTCAACGCTGTCTAAAGATGGTGATTTTGCTGTTCCTAAGGTATGTCAACTAATATATGTACATGTTGGTTGGATATGTTACCTACCACATGTTATGTTAACATATACATATATTTCGTCCATAGAGTTAACATGTTTGCCATCTTGTCAAAAAAGTTAGCACATTGTCATTTTACCATGTACAGTTAACATGTATCTTATGTTACCATGTACAGTTAACATGTATCTTATGTTATCATGTACTGTTAACATGTATCTTGTGTTACCATGTACAGTTAACATGTATCTTATGTTACCAAGTACAGTTAACATGTAACTTATGTTACCATGTACAGTTGAAATGTATCTTATGTTACCACATACATTAAACGCATACTACATATTTCCAAGTACAGTTATTGGTTTAGGTAAAAGTGTAGCTCAATTTTCCTATTTTTAATAAATACACCCATACTTTGTTGATGTAGGGCCGACCTGCAGGGCGGTCCAAGCTAAAAGCAATAGCGCCTCAGATCAAGTCTGGGACTCCCGGTGCTGTTAACGCAAACACAAACACCTTCCTAGCCCAACTACTCACTAAAGGTAGGCTCCAAAAGAAATCATACACACACAAGAAATGTTATGATATTGTATATTATTAAAAATTAACTTGACAGCATCTCAATGACCTTATGATATTAACAACTGAACTAATGGAATTGTTTCCTCAATGTTTAGATAAATTCAGAATTTTCACTTTATATGAAATATGTATGCATAAGATCAAGTCTGTATGAAATTTACCTCATGTAATCAATAACATTTAACATGTATTTTATGTTACCAAATACAGTTAACATCTATGTTATGTTACCATATACAATTTACATGTATGTTATGTTACCAAATACAATTTACATGTATGTAATGTTACCAAATACAGTTAACATGTATGTTATGTTACCAGGTACATATTCTGGTGCTGGTCCTGCCTCATTTAAAGCCACAAAATCACTGAGCCCAAGCTCACCAAGCAACTTCACACCAATACGTCCCCATCCATCAGCCTCATCACCTCCCAGCTCTGTGATGTCATCACTCTCCAACTCTGTGATGTCATCACTCTCCAACTCTGTGATGTCACCTGTGAAGTCACCAGTTGCTAGGATACCATCACCTGCTAGTGTCACTATCCTAAGTCCAGTGAGTAGGAAAATGTCTTAGAAATATGCAGCTAACTAAGAGGGAAATACCCCAGAATTCATAGATGGGCCTATCTCAATGTAAAATGATCCTCGAGAGGTTCATCCTTACATAAAGGTTCATCTATGGATTCTGGGAAATTTCCTCCTCTTCAGCTAACTTTTATTTCCATACAGGTTTGATATTTGTGCTAGCTCATGAGAAAATAGTCCTCGGTTTCTCATCATTTTTCTTAATGTAAAAGTTTCACTGTGCAATTATAACTATAAATGATTTTAATGCAAGGTGTTTATTAACCATTTTAACCCCTCAAACTCATATTCCAGTTGGAGGTTTGTACCAGTCATATTGTAAAAAACACCATTGTAAATGTCATTGTAAATCACTCTAAATTGTGTTTAATTTTAGATGACTGAGTTCCAGAAGAAAGTAATCAGTGCAGCTGCTAACCAGGCAACTAGGACCCCAAGTACAACCACTGCAACACAAAGTAATATGTCATTGTGTGTTACTCTTTAATTGTGTTTAATTTTAGATGACTGAGTTCCAGAAGAAAGTAATCAGTGCAGCTGCTAACCAGGCAACTAGGACCCCAAGTACAACCACTGCAACACAAAGTAATATGTCATTGTGTGTTACTCTTTAATTGTGTTTAATTTTAGATGACTGAGTTCCAGAAGAAAGTAATCAGTGCAGCTGCTAACCAGGCAACTAGGACCCCAAGTACAACCACTGCAACACAAAGTAATATGTCATTGTGTGTTACTCTTTAATTGTGTTTAATTTTAGATGACTGAGTTCCAGAAGAAAGTAATCAGTGCAGCTGCTAACCAGGCAACTAGGACCCCAAGTACAACCACTGCAACACAAAGTAATATGTCATTGTGTGTTACTCTTTAATTGTGTTTAATTTTAGATGACTGAGTTCCAGAAGAAAGTAATCAGTGCAGCTGCTAACCAGGCAACTAGGACCCCAAGTACAACCACTGCAACACAAAGTAATATGTCATTGTGTGTTACTCTTTAATTGTGTTTAATTTTAGATGACTGAGTTCCAGAAGAAAGTAATCAGTGCAGCTGCTAACCAGGCAACTAGGACCCCAAGTACAACCACTGCAACACAAAGTAATATGTCATTGTGTGTTACTCTTTAATTGTGTTTAATTTTAGATGACTGAGTTCCAGAAGAAAGTAATCAGTGCAGCTGCTAACCAGGCAACTAGGACCCCAAGTACAACCACTGCAACACAAAGTAATATGTCATTGTGTGTTACTCTTTAATTGTGTTTAATTTTAGATGACTGAGTTCCAGAAGAAAGTAATCAGTGCAGCTGCTAACCAGGCAACTAGGACCCCAAGTACAACCACTGCAACACAAAGTAATATGTCATTGTGTGTTACTCTTTAATTGTGTTTAATTTTAGATGACTGAGTTCCAGAAGAAAGTAATCAGTGCAGCTGCTAACCAGGCAACTAGGACCCCAAGTACAATCACTGCAACACAAAGTAATATGTCATTGTAAATTACTCTTTAATTGTGTTTAATTTTAGATGACAGAGTTCCAAAAGAAAGTAATCAGTGCAGCTGCTAACCAGGCAACTAGGACCCCAAGTACAACCACTGCAACACAAAGTAATATGTCATTGTGTATTACTCTTTAATTGTGTTTAATTTTAGATGACTGAGTTCCAAAAGAAAGTAATCAGTGCAGCTGCTAACCAGGCAACTAGGACCCCAAGTACTACCACTGCAACACAAAGTAATATGTCATTGTAAATTACTCTTTAATTGTGTTTAATTTTAGATGACTGAGTTCCAGAAGAAAGTAATCAGTGCAGCTGCTAACCAGGCAACTAGGACCCCAAGTACAACCACTGCAACACAAAGTAATATGTCATTGTAAATTACTCTTTAATTGTGTTTAATTTTAGATGACTGAGTTCCAGAAGAAAGTAATCAGTGCAGCTGCTAACCAGGCAACTAGGACCCCAAGTACAACCACTGCAACACAAAGTAATATGTCATTGTGTGTTACTCTTTAATTGTGTTTAATTTTAGATGACTGAGTTCCAGAAGAAAGTAATCAGTGCAGCTGCTAACCAGGCAACTAGGACCCCAAGTACAACCACTCCAACACAAAGTAATATGTCATTGTGTGTTACTCTTTAATTGTGTTTAATTTTAGATGACTGAGTTCCAGAAGAAAGTAATCAGTGCAGCTGCTAACCAGGCAACTAGGACCCCAAGTACAACCACTGCAACACAAAGTAATATGTCATTGTGTGTTACTCTTTAATTGTGTTTAATTTTAGATGACTGAGTTCCAGAAGAAAGTAATCAGTGCAGCTGCTAACCAGGCAACTAGGACCCCAAGTACAACCACTGCAACACAAAGTAATATGTCATTGTAAATTACTCTTTAATTGTGTTTAATTTTAGATGACTGAGTTCCAGAAGAAAGTAATCAGTGCAGCTGCTAACCAGGCAACTAGGACCCCAAGTACAACCACTGCAACACAAAGTAATATGTCATTGTGTGTTACTCTTTAATTGTGTTTAATTTTAGATGACTGAGTTCCAAAAGAAAGTAATCAGTGCAGCTGCTAACCAGGCAACTAGGACCCCAAGTACAACCACTGCAACACAAAGTAATATGTCATTGTGTGTTACTCTTTAATTGTGTTTAATTTTAGATGACTGAGTTCCAGAAGAAAGTAATCAGTGCAGCTGCTAACCAGGCAACTAGGACCCCAAGTACAATCACTGCAACACAAAGTAATATGTCATTGTAAATTACTCTTTAATTGTGTTTAATTTTAGATGACTGAGTTCCAGAAGAAAGTAATCAGTGCAGCTGCTAACCAGGCAACTAGGACCCCAAGTACAATCACTGCAACACAAAGTAATATGTCATTGTAAATTACTCTTTAATTGTGTTTAATTTTAGATGACAGAGTTCCAAAAGAAAGTAATCAGTGCAGCTGCTAACCAGGCAACTAGGACCCCAAGTACAACCACTGCAACACAAAGTAATATGTCATTGTAAATTACTCTTTAATTGTGTTTAATTTTAGATGACTGAGTTCCAGAAGAAAGTAATCAGTGCAGCTGCTAACCAGGCAACTAGGACCCCAAGTACAACCACTGCAACACAAAGTAATATGTCATTGTGTATTACTCTTTAATTGTGTTTAATTTTAGATGACTGAGTTCCAGAAGAAAGTAATCAGTGCAGCTGCTAACCAGGCAACTAGGACCCCAAGTACAACCACTGCAACACAAAGTAATATGTCATTGTAAATTACTCTTTAATTGTGTTTAATTTTAGATGACTGAGTTCCAGAAGAAAGTAATCAGTGCAGCTGCTAACCAGGCAACTAGGACCCCAAGTACAACCACTGCAACACAAAGTAATATGTCATTGTGTATTACTCTTTAATTGTGTTTAATTTTAGATGACTGAGTTCCAGAAGAAAGTAATCAGTGCAGCTGCTAACCAGGCAACTAGGACCCCAAGTACAACCACTGCAACACAAAGTAATATGTCATTGTGTGTTACTCTTTAATTGTGTTTAATTTTAGATGACTGAGTTCCAGAAGAAAGTAATCAGTGCAGCTGCTAACCAGGCAACTAGGACCCCAAGTACAACCACTGCAACACAAAGTAATATGTCATTGTGTGTTACTCTTTAATTGTGTTTAATTTTAGATGACTGAGTTCCAGAAGAAAGTAATCAGTGCAGCTGCTAACCAGGCAACTAGGACCCCAAGTACAACCACTGCAACACAAAGTAATATGTCATTGTGTGTTACTCTTTAATTGTGTTTAATTTTAGATGACTGAGTTCCAGAAGAAAGTAATCAGTGCAGCTGCTAACCAGGCAACTAGGACCCCAAGTACAACCACTGCAACACAAAGTAATATGTCATTGTGTGTTACTCTTTAATTGTGTTTAATTTTAGATGACTGAGTTCCAGAAGAAAGTAATCAGTGCAGCTGCTAACCAGGCAACTAGGACCCCAAGTACAATCACTGCAACACAAAGTAATATGTCATTGTAAATTACTCTAAATTGTGTTTAATTTTAGATGACTGAGTTCCAGAAGAAAGTAATCAGTGCAGCTGCTAACCAGGCAACTAGGACCCCAAGTACAACCACTCCAACACAAAGTAATATGTCAGTGTGTGTTACTCTTTAATTGTGTTTAATTTTAGATGACTGAGTTCCAGAAGAAAGTAATCAGTGCAGCTGCTAACCAGGCAACTAGGACCCCAAGTACAACCACTCCAACACAAAGTAATATGTCATTGTGTGTTACTCTTTAATTGTGTTTAATTTTAGATGACTGAGTTCCAAAAGAAAGTAATCAGTGCAGCTGCTAACCAGGCAACTAGGACCCCAAGTACAACCACTCCAACACAAAGTAATATGTCATTGTGTGTTACTCTTTAATTGTGTTTAATTTTAGATGACTGAGTTCCAGAAGAAAGTAATCAGTGCAGCTGCTAACCAGGCAACTAGGACCCCAAGTACAACCACTGCAACACAAAGTAATATGTCATTGTGTGTTACTCTTTAATTGTGTTTAATTTTAGATGACTGAGTTCCAAAAGAAAGTAATCAGTGCAGCTGCTAACCAGGCAACTAGGACCCCAAGTACAACCACTCCAACACAAAGTAATATGTCATTGTGTGTTACTCTTTAATTGTGTTTAATTTTAGATGACTGAGTTCCAGAAGAAAGTAATCAGTGCAGCTGCTAACCAGGCAACTAGGACCCCAAGTACAACCACTGCAACACAAAGTAATATGTCATTGTGTGTTACTCTTTAATTGTGTTTAATTTTAGATGACTGAGTTCCAAAAGAAAGTAATCAGTGCAGCTGCTAACCAGGCAACTAGGACCCCAAGTACAACCACTGCAACACAAAGTAATATGTCATTGTGTGTTACTCTTTAATTGTGTTTAATTTTAGATGACTGAGTTCCAGAAGAAAGTAATCAGTGCAGCTGCTAACCAGGCAACTAGGACCCCAAGTACAACCACTGCAACACAAAGTAATATGTCATTGTGTGTTACTCTTTAATTGTGTTTAATTTTAGATGACTGAGTTCCAGAAGAAAGTAATCAGTGCAGCTGCTAACCAGGCAACTAGGACCCCAAGTACAACCACTGCAACACAAAGTAATATGTCATTGTAAATTACTCTTTAATTGTGTTTAATTTTAGATGACAGAGTTCCAAAAGAAAGTAATCAGTGCAGCTGCTAACCAGGCAACTAGGACCCCAAGTACAACCACTGCAACACAAAGTAATATGTCATTGTAAATTACTCTTTAATTGTGTTTAATTTTAGATGACTGAGTTCCAGAAGAAAGTAATCAGTGCAGCTGCTAACCAGGCAACTAGGACCCCAAGTACAACCACTGCAACACAAAGTAATATGTCATTGTGTGTTACTCTTTAATTGTGTTTAATTTTAGATGACTGAGTTCCAGAAGAAAGTAATCAGTGCAGCTGCTAACCAGGCAACTAGGACCCCAAGTACAACCACTGCAACACAAAGTAATATGTCATTGTAAATTACTCTTTAATTGTGTTTAATTTTAGATGACTGAGTTCCAGAAGAAAGTAATCAGTGCAGCTGCTAACCAGGCAACTAGGACCCCAAGTACAACCACTGCAACACAAAGTAATATGTCATTGTGTGTTACTCTTTAATTGTGTTAAATTTTAGATGACTGAGTTCCAAAAGAAAGTAATCAGTGCAGCTGCTAACCAGGCAACTAGGACCCCAAGTACAACCACTGCAACACAAAGTAATATGTCATTGTGTGTTACTCTTTAATTGTGTTTAATTTTAGATGACTGAGTTCCAGAAGAAAGTAATCAGTGCAGCTGCTAACCAGGCAACTAGGACCCCAAGTACAACCACTGCAACACAAAGTAATATGTCATTGTGTGTTACTCTTTAATTGTGTTTAATTTTAGATGACTGAGTTCCAGAAGAAAGTAATCAGTGCAGCTGCTAACCAGGCAACTAGGACCCCAAGTACAACCACTGCAACACAAAGTAATATGTCATTGTGTGTTACTCTTTAATTGTGTTTAATTTTAGATGACAGAGTTCCAGAAGAAAGTAATCAGTGCAGCTGCTAACCAGGCAACTAGGACCCCAAGTACAACCACTGCAACACAAAGTAATATTTTTTATTATTCATTTTTTCATATGTGCTCTGAAATTCTTTAGGCTAGCTTATATTAATGAAATGGAAAAATATGAGTGTCCAATTCTGTAGTTTGTAATAAAAGATTATCACTCTTTCAAATATAAAAGCATTTGATACCATATAAAATTCAATTCATTGATGCCTTTTTACATTGCATCATCTTAAAGATTTCAACATCAAATGAGAGATGAACCCTCATATAGAGATATAAAGCAATCATTTACTGTACTGTAATGATGTTCTAATGTTTTTCAGAGACACCTCCTGCGCAACCAAGCCCTTCTAGAAAACAGGCAGATACTTCTCCTGATATTGAGGTAACTCATACTGCTCATCAATTCTTCTTGTTGTTGCTTTACTCATTCAAGTTTTCAACTTGCTCAATTAGACTTTCTATTAGTTCAGTGTGACTTGCTAGTTTGAAGCTGTTTCTAGTTTCCAAACTGTGTTTGCTCCTAACTTACAAAGAAGTTACTCTTTTAACCTGAAATATTCACAATATCATGTCACTAAATAGTTTGCATGTCCAAAGTAAAATCAAATATTGTTAAAATGACACTTTTTGCTGTTTTTTTCACTTGGCTGTATTCAATTCTGAACTAACATGATAACACTACATGATAACACTACATGATAATACTACATGATAATAATATATCAGTTGTGCTATCTTTAAATGATTAGTATAGATGGAGCATGTGCATGTTTGTATGCATGTGCTGTGCTTTACAATACACATACACACACATGTAAACTATAGTCTTATTATGTCACCACCGCAAGTGTTGACATATTGTTATGATCTCCAACATTTTTGTGGATGGTGCTCAGCTGTTGGCGTTTTACATGGTGATCAGTGTCTGTGTCAAATGGCAGGTGGTGACATTTTGCATGTTGATGCCTCATCTTCTCTCATCTAATTTTCTGAATGTTGTGTGCTGCTTATTTTTCTCTTGTATTGCTGATTATTTTAGGTTGCTGAACAAGTTTCCGACAAACATCACTTGAAATATGCACAGCTTTCTCAGCCTGTTAAAAATGACACAGAGGTATAAGTATCGCACTTTTGTAAAGTGCTATATTGTCGTAATCTTGTTATAATATCACAAAGAAACTATGTGACTTGTCATTCAAAATCCATAAATATTTTGTATCAATAGGCTACTGTATGAAGGCTGAGAACGATGTATAAAAATGACATATAAGCTACACATATAAGTGAAGAAATGGCTCAGTTTAAAAATGTCACAAAGTTGAATTCAAAAATGATCATTGATTCCACACCAAACGCTCATTTATTTGCACTGATAGTATTTTCTGCACACTTTAAGTCTGAGGATGATTGTTGACGTTAAACAACTACTTCCAATCTTCCATGCCTTATATGGTAACAATATTACAATGACTCTATTCACTATTTCAGTTCATACCCAAATATTACAATGACTCCATTCACTATTTCAGTTCATACCCAAATAATACAATGCCTCTATTCACTATTTCAGTTCATACCCAAATATTACAATGACTCTATTCACTATTTCAGTTCATACCCAAATATTGCAATGACTCTATTCACTATTTCAGTTCATACCCAAATATTGCAATGTCTCTATTCACTATTTCAGTTCATACCCAAATATTGCAATGACTCTATTCACTATTTCACTTCATACCCAAATATTGCAATGACTCGATTCACTATTTCACTTCATACCCAAATATTGCAATGACTCTATTCACTATTTCAGTTCATACCTAAATATTACAATGACTCTATTCACTATTTCAGTTCATACCCAAATATTACAATGACTCTATTCACTATTTCAGTTCATACCCAGTACTAGTGGTGGAAAGAAGGTAATAGAAACATACAGGGAGCAGAGACACAGGTCTTCAGAGCAGAAACGTAGATGTAACATAAAGGTACACCTATTAAAATAACTAGACCTTATTATTCATATGGTATTCACTATTTTCACCAGTGTTAAATGTATTGGTTAGCATAAAGATTCCTTATAACCTTGCTCTAGGCACAAAATTGAAGTATGTATGTCAGACGAGCATTGACAACATATGGTTTCTGGCTCATTCATTTACATTTCTATTTCATGCCTTGTTCTCTTCATCTCTATTCCAGTATGGCTTTGAAGCACTACAGACCCTCATCCCATCCCTCAGTCAGAACCACAATGTCAAGGTCATTCATTTTACATATCAATTTCATGCCTTGTTCTCTTTATCTCTCTATTCCAGTATGGCTTTGAAGCACTACAGACCCTCATCCCATCCCTCAGTCAGAACCCCAATGTCAAGGTCAGCAAAGCTGCCATGCTATCTAAAGGTGCTGAATATATCAGGAAGTTGAAGAGTGAGCGCCAAATCATGCATGACGAGGCAGAAGTATTACGACAAGAGGTGGAATCTCTCAACTCTGCTATCAAGTAAGTCAGTGAACTATGATTAATAATATGTTAGTACAAGTGCTAAATGAGGCAGAAGTATTACGACAAGAGGTGGAATCTCTCAACTCTGCTATCAAGTAAGTCAGTGAACTATGATTAATAATATGTTAGTACAAGTGCTAAATGAGGCAGAAGTATTACAACAAGAGGTGGAATCTCTCAACTCTGCTATCAAGTAAGTCAATGAACTATGATTAATAATATGTTAATACAAGTGCCAAATGAGGCAGAAGTATTACAACAAGAGGTGGAATCTCTCAACTCTGCTATCAAGTAAGTCAGTGAACTATGATTAATAATATGTTAGTACAAGTGCTAAATGAGGCAGAAGTATTACAACAAGAGGTGGAATCTCTCAACTCTGCTATCAAGTAAGTCAGTGAACTATGATTAATAATATGTTAGCAGAAGTATTACGACAAGAGGTGGAATCTCTCAACTCTGCTATCAAGTAAGTCAATGAACTATGATTAATAATATGTTAGTACAAGTGCCAAATGAGGCCGAAGTATTACGACAAGAGGTGGAATCTCTCAACTCTGCTATCAAGTAAGTCAGTGAACTATGATTAATGATATGTAAGTACAAGTGCCAAATGAGGCCGAAGTATTACGACAAGAGGTGGAATCTCTCAACTCTGCTATCAAGTAAGTTTGTAAACTATGCTTAGAAAGGTTTAATTGTTCATGATGAAGGATTTTTGAAGTGTTTCAGAGGCACATAATTTTACACATGCACATTTAAGTTTGCTTCAAAAGTTGTAGCTCATCATCCCTATTATTCTGACTGTAGCATTAATTATCCCATCGAACGAAGTTCGGAGGGATATAGGGAACGCCTCCGTCCGTCCGTCCGTCCGTACGTACGTCCATCCGTACGTCCGTCCGTAAGTACGTCCGTCCGTCCGTCCGGGCAATAACTCAAATACTGTTGGCCCGATTTTGTTCATATTTTGTACACATATACCCTATGGGGGTAGAAGTTCTGCTCGAGAGCCGATTTTCAAAATGGCCGCTCATTTAAAAATGGCGGCCATTTTAGTGCCGATTTTACAGTAATTTAGTTGCAATATGTAAAACTGTAATAGCATTATGTTTTAAATGTAAAATAATGATATAGGACATTGATAAAGCTAGATATGTAGATATTAAAGAAGCACATGGAAGCCATCTTGAAAAATGGCGGCCTTTACTCGTTATTTTACGATTTTTGCTGTAACTCAAGAAGTAGTGGAGCGATTTTGTTCATATTTGGTATGAGAAAACCATAAGCATGGCTCACTGTCTAATGACACTTTTAGTAGGAGGCAGCCATTTTGAAAAATGGCCGCCATTTTGAAAAATGGCCGCCATTTTAACATATTTTACTATAACTCAAAAAGTAGTGGAGCGATTTTGTTCATATTTGGTTTGTGAATACTATAAGCATGGCACACTGTCTAATGACACTTTTGGTAGAAGGCGACCATTTTGAAAAATGGCCGCCATTTTAACATATTTTACTATAACTCGAAAAGTAGTGGAGCGATTTTGTTCATATTTGGTATGTGAATAATATAAGCATGGAACACTGTCTAATAACACTTTTGGTAGAAGGTGGCCATTTTAAAAAATGGCCGCCATTTTAACATATTTTACTGTAACTTGAAAAGTGGTGGAGCGATTTTGTTCATATTTGGTATGTGAATAACTATAAGCACGGCACACTGTCTAATGACACTTTTGGTAGAAGGCGGCCATTTTGAAAAATGGCCACCATTTTGAAAAATGGCCACCATTTTAAAGTATTTTACTTGAAAAGTAGTGAAGCGATTTTGTGCATATTTGGTATGTGAATACTAAAAAAAGCATATTACTTCTTCTGATGACAACTTGGCTAGTGAGCAACCATTTTGAAAATGGTGGCCTTTCTTATGTGTGTTATTTCATGATATTTGCTATATATTTCGTTTGTAAAAATGCCAACATGGAGCCTGAATTGATGGATTTCTTTTAAATGGAAATCAGAATCAAAAGGTTGAGACTTAAATGTTATGATTACCCTATACTTGCTGTTCCTTATATCTGTAATATTGTCGTTGCAGTACATGTCAGTCACAGCTTCCAGCGACTGGTGTGCCAGTGACAAGTTATATGATATACCCAGTACTTGCTTTTCCTTATCTGTAATATTGTCATTGCAGTACATGTCAGTCACAGCTTCCAGCGACTGGTGTGCCAGTAACAAGACAACGTGAAGACAAGATGAAGGAGATGTTCGAAGAATATGTTCGTAACAGAACAATATCCAATTGGAAATTCTGGATTGTATCCTTTCAAGTAGCCCTAAATATTATTTTGGTGTCCCAAATGAAGATTGTCTCCACAAAGGAGATAGCATATATTAGTACAGTAAATGTCACAGTTTTTATGTCACCACCACAAATGGTGACTTATTGTTATAGTCTCAAATTTGTCTGTGGATGGTGTTTGACGGTTGGCATTTAGCAGTGGTGTTTGGCAGTCAACATCTATTACAAATGGTAGGTGGTGACATTTTGCATGTTAATGCCTTGTTATATCACAACTATGAAGTGGTATGGGCCATTGTGACACAGTTAGCATTGGCAGTCAATGTCTGTAGCAATTTGCATCACTTAAAGCGGCTCTAAGGTCTGTGGAGAGAAAAATGGAGAAATTTTACCTTTTCTGAGCTATCGGGGTGAAGTTTGGTCCAACATCTTCTTCCTTATTCCTATTTTATAAAAATGTATGCATATGGCAATATTCATCAACCAGTAGAACTGGCAAATCGTTTAGAATCTACAATTCCATACAAGGAGTCCCACTCATAGATTTTTCAAATTCTTTCCAAGTCGACGTCGAAACACCTAGCGGGTGAAATCGAAACAAATTTTTCTGGCTGCTCGAATCGATAAAATCTCTGATAGTGTGAGTCTTTTTATGAAATCTTTCTGATAGAAAACACTAAATTAATATTAGAAAGCATTAAATGTTGAATTCGAAGCGAAATCTGAAATAAAAGTGAAAAAACATTGCGCGGACGTCAGAGAAAAAACTTCCGGTTTAATAAAAAATGGCGGACGTCGAAGGAGAAATTATGACGAAGAATTAGAGGATTTTCCTTTGCCATTATCGATCGTTATAAGGTATGTGCACAAATTCTAGTTGCATACATGGAAAATAGATACAGTTTTAAAGGCAACAACATATTCAAAGCTTTCATTTTACGATAGGCCCAGGATCATTGGATACGACTCGGCAATCGATATTCCCACTTTAATGATATTTTGCTTTGTTAATGTCTCAACTTCCATATGTTGCAATCAACATGTAGGAAACATTCCATATTGCCTTTTTTACATTGTTGTTACGCCTTAATCCTGTTTAGTTCAGTACTATAATCCGACCGCTCTTTATCCAGTACAACACTATGGTATCAACAGCTAGCATTGATGAACTTTGCCGTACAGTGCTCTCGTGGCTAGATCAACATTGCTCTCTTGTCTCCCTCAGACCAGGTAGGGTTAATAGAAAAACAACAATGCCTTTGTACTCTTTGGATTTCTCAGATCAGGGACTGGAAGAGTATATATACATTGCTCCTTTGCATTCAGCACTCCTGATAGATATATTACTCTGGTTCATAACGGATAATTATATTCCTTTGATATATTTTTTTTTTTTTTGAAACGAATCATGAATGTCGGGTTAAAGTATAAATCTGGTCTATTTGCAGGAGTTCTTCAGTCGCTGACAACTCTCAGCACAACAACGTCCATCCTTTCAGACCCATCCAATATGCCAGAACAGGCGGCCATGGCTGTGCAGAGGAAGTCGAGGTAGCCATGGTTACTATTGTGATGTCATCGTGGTTGCCATTGTGATGTCATTGTACATAGAATGTAAACAATATGCCAGAGCAGGCGACCCTAGCTGTATAGTGGAAGTTTAGGTAGCCATGGTTACCATTGTGATGTCATTGTACAATGTACATAGAACATAAACAATATGCCAGAGGAGACGGCTCTAGGGAGTCGAGGACTCAAGGTTGCCATGGTTACTATTGTGAAATCATTGATTGTGATGTAATTGTACATAGAATGTAGACAATACGCCAGCGATGAACTGGTTACCATTGTGATGTTATTGTATATAGAATATGGACTATTGAATCGGATATTAGAGAACTCTACAACTGTATAGATTCTGACAAACCATACATTGATAAATGTGTTAGAAGTTATAATATATAAACTTACATAGACTTACATAGAAGTTAATGAATATATGTACAGTTTCCATTAGTATTTGAGTTTAGTATGGATGTAGAATATGTCCCATTCATGAATTTGCATGAAAAGACTGGTCCATGCAAACAGCATTGTGTTAAGATAAGAGACGCAAAATTAACATTACAAGCTTTAAATAAATGATTGCCAAATTTATGGAGGGGAGTGTATTGTCAAATTTATTTATGGAGGGGGGTGTTATGTCAAATTTATGGCGGGGAGTGTATTGTCAAATTTATTGTCAAATTTTTCTATCTCAAAATATACCAAAATTCAGAGTTATCTGTCAGTTGCGCCATCTATACACTTTGCTACAAACCTTCGTAAAATTGTTATAAGAATTTATTAAATGTGCATGTAGCCACCACTTATTATTTGCATACTAGGTGTGTAACGTTTTTAACCCTTGGTACTTTCACAAACTGTCAAAGTCCATTCATGCTAATCATGGGGCAAGTCACTACAATTAATTTAAATGTGGTGTTTTTTATAGAGATCGATTTGTACATTTACTAAGATATGATCTCTTGCCTTCTTATAAAGTCCCGATAATATGATATCATACCCTCCCTCTGAATATTATGTACTCTTTCATATTCTATTGGCTGCTAGTAACCTTTATGTACATTTATGTACATTTACTACAGTGACATTTGATGTCTGATGTTGAAACATGTTAGCTAGAAACTGCCATCTATATGTTTTTATATGTATTAGAAGTGCTTAAGTGTCATGTATCTACCAATATTTGTCAAAATACAAGATGATCCAAAATGTGCCCCAATTGTTTATGTTTCTAAAGCTAAAATGGCCAGTGGATCCTAAATTATCTCGAAAATCAAAAAGAATCAGCATAAACATCTTTATTTTTGCACTATCAAGCTGAAATTTTAAGCACATGTACAAGTTCAAACAAATATAAATGTACAAGTTTAGTATCATGTAACAGGCAAATTATGTTGATACAAGTACAGCTATATTATCATGTTATGGGCAAATTATGTTGATACAAGTACAGCTATATTATCATGTTACAGGCAAATTATGTTGATACAAGTACAGGTAAATCATCATGATGTACAGGTAAAATATAATGTTGATATTGTAGCTTAGCTACATAGTAAAACATGCTGTTAAAGACATTATAGAGTTTAGAAGTTAAGTAACCTCCTATTTGGCCCCAAAAATGCAAAGCCTTGTCTTTGGTCACCTTGTAATATTTAACACTAGCACATTTTTTCAAACGTAAATCTAAAAATCACTGAAAAATTCAAATATCATATAATTCATTTTATCATAATATTCTTTATCAGCTAAGTTTGCAAGGAATATTGGCTCTGATATGATTAGAAACATATGATATACTATTACTTAATGTATATGTTATAGCATGTACACAGTGCTTCAACGATCTCACCAGTATCATCCAACTAAATTGTTCTCCCGGTTAAAGGAACGTTTTTATGAAAAAAACACAAATTGTGTATCTTTCTAGTATGAATTTCGTTGGAAAAGACTTTGGGGAAATGCTGGCTAGATTTTGAAGGATCACTTAGATAGTGTTTATTTATAAATAAATTGAATAAATATACATATTTTTCAAAACAAGAGTTTGTTTACATAGTTGCTATACTTATAGTTATGTATGCCTTGATTTGAATGCAACAGACTGTTACAGTGCATAGCACTTGGGGAAACTAAGCTTGTATTCGCTAATGCAACTAATGGATGTTAACTACCTGATTAACCTGCCACTATTCCATTATTTAAATGAGTTGGTCATAAAATAGTAGGTTAATCTGGTAGCCGACAGTCAATGATCGTGTACTTCACATAGCTAGGCATGATATAAACATTATCACGGTCCCGTTTGCACCGTTCCGTATTAGTGGTTTTGTAGACATTAATACAGAATAAATAATACCGTTTCATGAAAAACGGTGACCTTGTCCTACGGAAATTGAGATAACTGTTTCACAGCAAGGTCGCACGGCGATACTGTATAGCACATGCTCTAGGGAATTGATTCTTTCTTCTATAGACACCAAACACATCTCTGTCGATAGAATAATGAACAAGGCACAGGACGTGAACGAGATCACACCATCAAATAGGCAGACACTATGAGCCAGGAAAACTGTTCTTCTATTATGTTTACAAATTTCAAGAACAAGAAAACAAGATGGCCGCCCAATCAGCTCTAGTACTTGATATCCTCTATCATTTGTGTAAATTTGAAGGAAATCCGATGAGCGGTTTTCCTGAAATGGCGATGACAAGATTTTTCGGAAAACCTTCAAAATGGCCACCAGAAAACAAGATGGCCGCCCAAAAGTTAATCAGCTCTAGCACTTGATATCCTATATCATGTGTGTAAATTTGAAGGAAATCCGATGAGCGGATTTTCTGAAATGGCGATGACAAGATTTTTCGAAAAATCTTCAAAATGGCTGCCAGAAAACAAGATGGCCGCCCAAAAGTTAATCAGCTCTAGTACTTGATATCCTCTATCATTTGTGTAAATTTGAAGGAAATCCAATGAGCGGTTTTCCTGAAATGGCGATGACAAGATTTTTCGAAAAACCTTCAAAATGGCCGCCAGAAAACAAGATGGCCACCCAAAAGTTAATCAGCTCTAGTACTTCATATGCTCTATCATCTCTGCGAATTTGGAGAAAATCTGATGAGCAGTTTTCCTTAAACGGCGATGACAAAAAGCGGGACGACCACGATCACGACCACGATCGCGACCACGACCAGTATGACGACTATATCCCACCGATGGTGTGATAAAAAGCCTTAGGGTCCCAACCTCCGTTGTTTACATTTACAAAAACGTGAAAAAATGACAAAAGTTGTAACTTTTTAAATCTAAAACTCTTGAAACCGATTTCACTTGCCAGCGACAGATACGTGTACATTGGTCTTGAAATGAAATTCAGGTAACAGATTTCATTTGGAACGGTAGGGTGTCCTAAAATTCATAAGAATTGTATGAGAGAGGCATAAGGCATGGGTGATTTTCGGTGCGCTATCGGAAATTGAACATACGTGAGGAATAGCTGACATGAATTCCAGCCATGTTATATATCCGAATTTATCGACATTTAGAATTCTACATCCCCACAGACCTCGGAGTAGTCAGAAAAATACAACAATCTATGTAACATTTTGATAACATTTACACAACTTCTCTACTTTACATTATAATAGCATTGTTATTATTGAATCATTTCAGCTTTTTGGTACATTAGATAATACGACCCATCATAAATATCCAGTATCCAGTTAACGTTTTTAGGCGATGTAGAATTCTAATGTCAATGGAAATATAAAATATAAAAACTATGGCCTTTTAATCAACCAAGCCTTACATCTCCCTCAAAAAAATCCTCATGAATTAAAAATATGACTGAAGACGAACTTGGGAAATTATTAAGACTGCATTTTTGTACATGCTTTTTGACCGTGAGCATGATTTTAATGCTAAAAAATAGCTAAATTGTGGTTAGCCTATACCACAATAGTATGTGCGAAATACCACTGTGTACACTGGCGCGTTTGATTCCAGCGCGTCTAACCTTACACGTGACGAGGGTGTAACTGGAGATGTTGATAAGGAACACGATAATCATAGCGCCAGAGTAACAGTTGTTGAAAGTAGCGTAGAAATCCTTCCTTGCATCGATCAAGCACCTGTAACAAATAACATGCATGAATACATTATATTAAAGTATTCCCAAATGTGAGTCCCATGGCACAAAGTAAAAGAAGGTGTTCATCTGATCATTGCAGGCAGGCCCATCCGAAGGTATTCCCAAGGGGGCAAATTCTGCGTACCGTTGGGTTGTGCAGTCAACACGCCCTCGCAAAGCGTCAATGGTGCGGAGCCAGGGAGTCTGGGCATGCCCCCTCTCCCTAGCAGAAAAATTGTAATTTAGACACTCTCCGTTATATTCTGAGCAAATACGAGAGCCACATTTGCATTATTAAACACAAATCTAATTGGAAAGGGGGTCGCCCCAAACGCCCCCTCCCCCCCCCCCCTGAACGGGCTACACAATTACAGGTAGAATTATTTTAACCTTTTTGTTATTTTTATCCGTCTTTCTACCTGTACTAGATCTAGTGGGATTGTATTACAGCGATATACTATGGATCACGACTATATTAAAACTAATCCTCTAGAACTAGATATTACAAATTGGAAACACTTTCCGAAGGGTATCTAAGATAAATTCATAATCTTACCATGCGCCACTTGGCCTAAATATACCAAAGCAGAATAGCACAGCGCCCCAAATGCCAGGTGCGCATATAGCTGCAGATAATAACTTTCAGTCCCACTTTCCAAGGGACATAACCGTTCCCCCTTTAACGACCAATAACATAGCATTAATGGCTGTAAATGACACAACTATTGCTTGGGCAATCACGAACTGGGAGAGAAGCGCCCCAAGTACAGCACAGAATGGGTCTGGCACGTTGGCGGCCAGCATTATACTATGATCCACCAAATGGCTACAACTCCACATCAAGTCGCAGATGGCCAGATAAACAACGAAACGCTCTGGGAGTTTCAGTTGCCAGAACGACTTATTATGTCTCTGTGTTGTTATGGTAACCTGACCGATGAGGACACTGCTACTAAAGTTACTGAAACAGAGGCTGATGATCCCACCGACGTGAATGGCTATGAACCAGTGCCCGGTGCCAATGATAGGGGCTGCGGTGAAGTTCATCTCTGTACCCTGTACGGATAATTCCCGGCACTTTTGTATTTTCTATTTGAGAAGATGGATTCCGATGTCACTATTTAAGACATGATTATATCCTTCATATTTGAGTTGCTTGAACATTGAAATGTTCAGCACATCGAGTATCCAATTTTCCATTTAAACGTTTCGTAGCAGGTCTATTTATCAATTGTATGTTTCCAAATTCATTTGTAAACATACATTTGTTCTAATATCAAAATACATTAAATCAAAATATAGAAACATGTATTCTTAGAAGTGCACATTCTCAAGAATACCATCTAAATAAATTATATTCTTGTGAAGAACTGGATCTCAAATATTAAGCACTATCAAAGAGACTGTCTATTTATAAACTGGGTAGAAGCGGAACCGTTAAAAAGAGCGTAGCCGGTCGTCAGGCTCCGATTTTAACTGATGCTGTTCAGTGTAATTTTGCACAATTGTATACACAATACAACTAGCCTAGAAGTTTACATTTATATTATCAACATTTTAATTAAATGAATTAGCTTACTCCACCTAATTAATAATGAAAAAGTGAGATTTTTGGAAGTGATTCAGTTTGTACGTTCTGAGATAGGCCTCGCTAAAAAACATATTTTAACATTTTCTTGTATCGTGTCTTAAGTTATTTAAAGTTGCAACAATTAGTGCAGAGGGGACATTCAATGATCATCGACCAGTGTCAAAATAGATTTAAGTTTGGATATTTCATCAAGTCTAGATCTCTCATTTTAGTAAGTTGGTCTAACATATATTTTTAACATCTACAAGGAAACCCCCTGGATGAACATTATTTCAGCTGACATTCCTCTTGAAACGAGTCGGATCTTAAAAATCTGTAAGTGGAATTCCCTTTATAGAAGCTTTGAAATTTACACTTCTTAATGCTGAAATTGATAGTTTATCCATTAGTTTTAAGAAAATAGGTATGTCAAAGAAGACGTTAAGCCAAATGGTATGTTTTCAGGCAAATATTTATCTTTCTTTTCTAGTTTGAAATTGCTTTCAAGACTGTGAAATCGGTTTAACTCGGAGCCTGAGAACCGCATACACTCCATGGGCGTAGCCAGGGGGGGGGGGGGGTGCGATGGGTGCGATCGCACCCCCCCCCCCATAACCTTTGAAAAGATGACCATTGGATAGAGGTAGAAAAGAGCTTTAAAATGCTTTTTATTTGAAGCTTCTGGCTCAATTTTGAAGGAAGTTGCATCAATTTTTGTAAAATTCAAAAGAAATCTTAATTTTTTGTGTTGCTTATGGCAAAATCGCACCCCCCCTGACCGAAAACTGAAAAGTTTTCGGCGATCGCACCCCCCCCCCCTGACTGAAAGCTGGCTACGCCCCTGCACTCACTTGTATTTTCAATGGGGTTCAAGCTTTTTGAAAAGCACCCGAATGACACCTATTAGTAAAACATTCCGACTGTGCACAAACAGTTTATCTTGAAAATCGTGACTATTTTCATTTCGGAATCAACCTGATCTTATTGGACTCATTCAAAATCAAAACAGTGTTTTTATCGTGTTTTGAGAAGATTATCTTTTTATGTAAATAATCAACCTTACTCAACAGTTTATCTTGAAAATCGTGACTATTTTCGTTTCCGAATCTCATTCTTGGACTATGTCGATCCAAACATTCAAAATCAAAACAGTGTTTTATCGAATAAATACTCTATTACTAAAGCACTCAATTAGGTTATGATTTTCGTATTTATCACAATATTTCATATGTCTAGCCTTGCCCAATCTCTGGTAATAATTCAAGATCAGATAAGTAAAAAATACAGACTTGGGAAAGGCTATCATATACCCAGCCCTTTTTAAGATAGGAAAGAGAATGGCAAAGCACGAGTTTATTATGATTCAGTAGCATTGCTTTTCTCGGAAGAAAATTAATACTTATATTTACAGTATGTTTAGATAAAACAAACTGGCAGATCTAGAAGCTAACAAAGGGGGGGGGGGATGGGGCACATTTCAAGTATGAAAAATGTTGGTCCGCCAGTGCGTTGTATATATGTATGGTTGTAGATGACGCAGAAAAGCCTATGGCGGGATAGATCGCTATGCTCAGATCAGTGATGCATCACTTATGTATTTCAAAAGTGGGTATACGAATTCATATCAAGGCCGTCGCCAGGGGGTCGCGTCGGGTGTGCCTGCACCCCCCCCCCCCTTCAGTTTTGCCTTATTGCTTTTAAAAAAATTGACTCGTAGCTATTTTTTAATTTGCCTCAGAAAAGGGGAATATTTTGCTTCAAACTATGTTTGACACTTTCTCCCTGGCTTCCAATCCAGGGAGAAGGTGGAAAATTCACTCACTAATCTAAAATCCAAATCTATTGAAATCATGGCCGTCAGATGGGGGGGGGGGGGGCGTTGGTTGCGACCCCCTCTACTCTGGTACCACCCAAAAAGAATGATTTTGAAAAAAGAGTTTTACACCCCCAAAATAATTTGATAATTTATTCTATCTATTGTCTCAGACAAATAGTAAATTGAAATGGTCAATGTTCTTTGGGACAACCTCTTGCTCCCCTCAAAAAAAAATGAAAATTAGAAAAAAACATATATATATTTTTTCAATTTCTTTTTAATTTCTAATTGACTCATCCACCTTGAAGGTGCCCAGGGATCACCAAATAGCATCTAAAGACTGAACTTGTAAAATTTTCGAGAAAGTGTGGGCCACCCCTTACTTCTTATTTTTGCAAAAGTGGGTGTACGAATTCAAGCCGGGCAGTCGCCAAGGGGTCGCGTCGGATGCGCCTGCAACCCCCCCCCCTTGAGTTTTGCCTTATTGCTTTCAATCCAATGGGGCAAACCACTTGACTTCCATCTTTCTATTGCTTTAAAACCTATGTGTTTCACTAAAGTTTCTAAAGTCTGAGATATTTGGAGTTTGTTTTCCTTCTCACAGACACTGAGACACTCTGTCTTAACACTTTTAAATCTTCCATGATTATACTTGTGCATACGGCAGGGGCAGATCTGGAAACCAACAAGGGGGGGGGGGCAAATTTCATGTCTGATAAAAAATACTGGGCCCCTAATACTATGTGAGGCCCATTTTTTCAAAATTTGGCCTGAATAAGGTCCTTAGAGGTCTAAGAAAAAAAATGACAAAAAGGCCAACTTTTTGGGGCTTAGGGCCTTTTTTGGCCCAAATTTTGTTGGCCCCAATTTTTTTCTGGGCCCATCCAAGTGGAGGGGGGGGGGCTATGGTATTCAATCAAGACTTTCTGACGACTGTCTACTATTTATTTGTATTTTCGTCAATGGATTTGAATTCTAGTGATGATCTCCAGATGGCCAATCAAACAAATTGTGACAACATGGTAACTCTTGGATTTTCTTTAATAAAACCGTCCACATTGATATAATGTTAAGAATATAACAAGGAATGATTCGCTTAACAATTTCTCCAGATGTATACAAGTAGCACTTCTGTTCAAATTGCAAACCAGGATGAGTTGATTATTTTAAATGAAGTGTATGCAATTTATATGTTTGTTATCCTCTCTCTGGTTGGTCAAAAACATACCGGATCTAAAGGTCACATGACTCACTGACTTCTGACGTCACGTGGAATCCCTTTTCTTCATTTCGCAGTTTTTAACATTTTTCTCAAGTTTTTACGCGAATACTTGTAAATTGTTGTAGTATTATACTTAAATCAACCACACGGATTAACTTCATGTCACAGAGATGGCAGGGGTTTTTGATTTGGAGCTCCACGAGGCCGCTACCACCAGTTTAGAGGATTCGGAAGAAGAAAATATTGAAGTCGACGAAAATGTCGAGGTAACATTTTTCAGTCTCATTTCTCGAGTTCAGAAATGAAGATCTACTTATTAAATTATGATTTTGACATAAATTATTTGTTTAGACACATTCCATTTTCTGCAATTATTATCCATACGGGTCTACAGTCACTTAATTTTTTCTGTGAGTGAGTCATTTCGCAACATGAGTCTAAAAGCACACTCGCACTGTACTTCACAGCCAATAAAATGGCTCAAAAATTCTTCTTCTAGCTTTAGAGTCGCTTTCATGGTTTGAAACCCTCTCTGGTTACTTCCTGCGAAAGCTATGTGGATATTGATGTAATAGCTTTCCCACGGCGCACTTGGACAGCTGAATAATAGGTACCTTTAAAACATGAATAATGAGATCTACGGCTTACTTTTGGTCTCTAACTGTGTCTTACATCAGTATCATCAATCTGTGCAAGTATTGGAGCGCTGAAATACTTCTTTTTCGATCAAGACTTGTAAATTGTTCATCGAGTGAATGTTTTTTTGACCCATTTCCAATATGGCGGCCGCAGTTTGCTAGGAGGGAGATACGCAACGAACGAAATGAATTTTGAGAATGAGTTAGGTTCGGAGATTTACTGAGCAGAAAATGCCATATTGGAATTTGGCAGAAAAAACATTCTAACAATTACAAGTCTTGATAGAAAAGGAAGTACTTCAGCGCTCCAATACTTGCATGGAAGGATGATAATGATATATGACATAGTAAGAGAACAAAAGTAAGCCACATGTTTCAAAGGTCACTATTATTCAGCTGTCCATTCTCCATTGGAGAGCCATAAGTTTCAAAATAAAACATGTCTCTCGAAGTGAGTAACTCTCTGGTGGTTCTATTTTCGATCTATGCATGAAGGTCCATTCAGAGTCTGCTATTTAACCTTAAAAATTTAGACTCAGGAATGAAAGTTGTTCACAACAACTTTCAGCCCATCTTTATTAAGATGAACTGGAAATGAATTATCTTCGAGTCAAGTAAATGGTTATCTTGTTTTTATAGAAGTCAAAACATTACAAATTAGCATTATCATAAGCATTATTAATCAAAAAATATTTTTATGAATTTGTCTGATATCTGCTGAAATGTATAGTTGTGTTGATTAGTGTTGTCGCGATGTGCCATAATCGTACATCGATGCATCGACAATTTTCAGGAGTAAACATCGATGCACATCGCGATGTACATCGAGAAAAAGTCCGAGAAAAGTGCACTGAAATACCGAACGCTAATGCACTAAAATACCGAACAGAACAAATTAATAAGAGTACGCTGGTACATACGGGAACTTCTAGTAACGGTGAAATGAAAGTAAAAAGTAATTTTTTTAGATTAATGGTTCATTTCGACTAGCTAAAGCAGTTTTAAAGCGAAAGAATATCAGAAAACATTGGAAAATGAAATAAGTCATGAGAAAGGTAAGCGATTTGCGTCAAAATAAGATAAGAAAGGGTGATTTTTAGCAAATTCAATTTTTTTTAAAAACATCGATGTTTTGTTTCAGTCATCGATGCATCGCCAGAATCAGCTTTGGCGATGTATATCGCGATGTATCGATTAATCGCGACAACACTAGTGTTAAATTACAAAATAGGTAGGGTTAATAATATGTCAAAGTCGCTTGATCTTGTCCCAGAAGCAATATTTTGTTATTTTTATCACCCAGAATTCCTTTAACAACAACATGTAAAACCTGTCCAATATATGACTTAAATCGGTAAGTTATTTTCAAAGGACTGAAAGTTTGCATCTAAATTGGTCATTCCAATCGTACAGTTTTTGTCGTTTTCTTTTTTCTTTCTACTCTCCTTTTTATGCAGCTAGATTAAGCTATTTGTACTTTTTTGTCACTTATACTGACAAATATATACTTTTCTAGAGTTACTCTAAAGCTTGACTTGATCTTTGAAGGCAGTAAAGCTAAGATGTTATAAAATGTATAAACATAGATTTTGTCGGATGAAAAACTTTTCCGTTTCAGTTGACAATATCCTCTAGTCTGATATTTTTTTTGAAATTTGGTTGAAAATATTTAGACTACATGTGTCCTATGTAAATATTTGTGTTCAAACACATTTGTTTACATGTAAATTGTAATTCAAAATGTCTGATGGAGTAAATTAATTTGCATATTTCTTAGTTCCACCAGCTTTACTTCTACTAGTCAATCTACTGTGTTACTTTGAATAGCATTTAATTGTACCTTACTACTTGATTTAATTTTCATAATGCCTATTTTATTGAAGTAGTGCTTCCTCTAATTGATAATTTTGTACAAAAAATTCACTGCAATTACCACACGACAGAACATGAAGATAACAGAATGAGTACTAATTGGATACATCCTATCAATTTCAGTTTCATTTTTTTGCAGGCGCAGTTTCTAGAAGCTGGTCCTAATATAGATTACAGGTAAGTTTTCTCTCATAATATTTTATCTCGTTATATTTTTTATCATGCGATCGATGTTGACTTAACTATTAGTATTGAGAAGCATATACACCATTGTAACCAGCTGATTGTAGCACTGTCCGATATTTGGTATCATTGAAAAGTTAGTGTTAGAGCTGTTGCTCACACTATGATTTCATGGTTTTATTTATTTGTTTATTTATTTTATTGGTCATATAGAATTGTATTGTATCTACTAAAACATGATTAAGAATAATCACATTCTATCACTTTTACAGGTAAAGTACATTTTAAAAGACTATAAAGTGATTGTTAAAGTGTTCGACGCCCCTCTTTAACAGCTACATTTTTAAGATATCATCACCAACATTAAAGCATATCCGATTCTTGCTCAATGTATGATATTTGCCTGTTTTAGTGGAGAAGATATAGAAACATTGGAACTATCGGAGAATACAGTCAACCCTGGGCAACTGAAGGCTGGACCACATGACTTTGAGCTTCTCAAAGTATTAGGGAAGGGAGGCTATGGAAAAGTAAGTACATGTCATTTTGAAAGCCCTTTGTAGCACTTCATGGCTGTTCATGAACTTCTCAATTTTGTACCTGTGTAATGCCTCAAATGTTCCTCATTATGAATCTTTTTCTCAAAATACTTCTTTATAACGAAGTAATAAAACCCTGCTATGGAAGAGTTACCAGTGTCTATAGGATCTGCCTGTTCTTCAGAATGAATTATAATAGTTTTACCTTTTCATTTCTGGGTCAAAGGCTCTCAAGATTTCAGCCTATTTCAGGGATTTCATATATCAGTGTTGAAACTGATTTCAGTCTTAAGTTTATTCAGGATTTGACTTCAGAATTTTCAAAATTTCTAGCAAGGTTTTAGCCTATCCTTTCAAAGGCTAGCCTCTAAAATCAGTATTTCAGCTGCTTATTTCAGGGTAAATCATTTTATTTTATGAGTTAATCTCTGTATTTGTAGGTTTTTCAAGTTAGGAAATTACACGGAAAAGATCATGGAAAAATATTTGCAATGAAAGTTTTGAAAAAAGCTACAATTGTACGTAATGCAAAGGACACTGCACACACAAAGGCTGAACGTAATATCTTGGAGGCTGTCAGGGTAAATATTTGTGTTTTGAAACACCTCAGGCAGTTTAAGCCTCTTTCCATTCTAGGATTATTTGTCATATTGGTTGCCAACCCCTTTACTTGAATTGTGGCTAATAGTGCTTCAAGACAAATCACAGTTCTATATTGTAAAGTCTATATTATAGGGATAAGTAGTAAATAAATACAAAAAGTTTAATAAATCTGAGACACACCTGCCATTGATCTCCCAAGGATTTTTTCTCAAGTGGGGGCAAAATTCTAATTTCTACAATTCAGACCAAAATTAGTCAAAATATGTTCATTTTTCATGATATGTCTCATTTTCAAGTGGGTGCAAATGGATATTCAGGTGGGTGCAAGCCTATTTTCAAAATCTCATGTAGATGCTGTGCCCACTCGCTTTAATGCTGGGGAGATCACTGCCTGCATTTAGATTCAAAAGAATGAACATGAATTGAAATTTCAGGAACAGTAAAACCTGTACATTCAAACACCTCTTTAATCATAAAACACATTTTTCCCAGTCTCAATTTCGGTATCACCCATTGACCCTTCACTGACATATTAAAAAAACTTTGAAATGTGAACATCTAACCTGAACACTTGTGACTTGTGCTTGTGGAGTCTTGATTATAGACATGTTCAGATATTAATCATTTTATTACGAGAGGGAGTTTTTACACATGCATTCTTCAGCTCCCCTACCCAGAGGACCCAATACATGGGATACAGATTTTACAGTATCCACTCGATATGATATGTTAGAATGATGTATTTATCTTACAGCATCCATTCCTCGTTGACTTAATATACGCCTTCCAAACCTGTGGGAAACTCTACCTAATTCTGGAGTATTTAAGTGGAGGGGAACTATTTATGCAGCTTGAAAGAGAAGGAATATTCATGGAAGACACAGCTTGGTGAGTTGGTTAGATAATTATGCGCATAATTAAATTCCTGTGATTTGATTGGTTGGGAGGCTCCTATAAACTTATCTGGTGTTTTCCTACAGAATTGTTGTACAGTTTTGTAACTCTCATATGACAGAACATAGTTGATGAGATCTAACTGTGAAGTTCAAAACCAATGAGAATATGAGAAAAGCAATTCTTCGATTTCTTGATTCATAATTTTTTGTATGAATCATAACTCATAAGTGCCAAAATGTCACATTAGTGGGATCAGTTAGGACAATAAAACCCTAGAATTGCACTTGCTATATATAAAGCACAATTTTTTGACAGAAGTATCATTGATACATATATATTTGATATCTAACGAAGTGGTATTGAAAAGTGGTCCCAGTTGATAATAGCAGCCCTCGAAGATTTTACACTTTTACATTGAGCCCCATGTTAATTTATCAATCTTCTAAAGACCTCCTGCAGAACAGTTCTAGAGTAATAAAGCCCATATTCCCAGTATCTTACAAATATGTGATTATCTTCAAAATAAGAAGGGTTAAATTTTTTCTTTTGCCTAGTTCAAAAGATATTGCCGTTTGAATTTTGGAAAATCCCCATTGGCTGCCATTATAAAGCGCTATCAATATGGCTTTACTAAAGTGTCATTTTCTCAAAAAGTCCACTATGGAATTTTCTAATATTGCAGATTTCTATAGTTAATATATTGAATTAAAAAAAATCAAACAGACACATTTCTAAAAATTTCTTATTTTTGAAATATTTAGCTGTTAAGTTACACATGAAACTACAGAAAATCTGTATTGAGCCCCATGTTAATTCATCAATCTTCAAAAGACCCCCTGCAGAACAGTTCTAGAGTAATAGTGCCCATATTCCTAATATGTTACAATTACATGATTATCTTCAAAATAAGAAGGGTTAAATTTTTTCTCTTGCCTCGTTCAAAAGATATTGCCGTTTGAATTTTAGAAAATCCCCATTGGCTGCCATTATAAACCGCTATCAATATGGCTTTACTAAAGTGTCCTTTTCTCAAAAAGTCCACTATGGAATTTTCTAATATTGCAGATTTCTATAGTAAATATATTGAATTAAAAAAAATCAAACAGACACATTTCTAAAAAATCTTATTTTTGAAATATTTAGCCGTTAGGTTGTTCATGAAACTATAGAAAACCTGTATTGAGCCCCATGTTAATTCATCAATCTTCAAAATAGCCCCCGCATAAAAGTTTTAGAGTAATAAAGCCCATATTCCTAGTATGTATAATTTTTTCTTTTGCCTAGTTCAAAAGATATTGGCGTTTGAATTTTAGAAAATCCCCATTGGCTGCCATTATAAACCGCTATCAATATGGCTTTACTAAAGTGTCCTTTTCTCAAAAAGCCCACTATGGAATATTCTTATATTAAATTCATTAAGATGTTTATTTCATTTTGAACATATTAATGATACCAAGAACAAAAGTGTTTGATGTGTTTTCTAAAACAATATAGAGAAAGTTTATTTTGAAATCATATTGTAACCATTCAAAAGATGACCATTAAGTTGACGATGTGTAAAATTTTTAGAATTTTTTGATGACTGGTTTAGAGAAACGTGTGTTCAAAAAAAAAGTTCACCATATCAATACAAATCTTTTGATTTTTTGACATAATATAATCTTGAATGTTTTCTTTTAAATAGCCATAATTTATTTGGATGATATTTCTGATTTTTTCATAAAAAATGTTAGCCCTGCTTTGGACAATAGTAAAAACTTTTACAACTTGTAGATTTAAATGTCCTCTTTTGAATATTCTTAATTTAATTTGGGTGATATTTCTAGAAAAAAACGCTAAATTAACATTGGGCTCAATTAGTTTTTTTTATAGTTTCTTGTGCAACTTAACGGCTTAATAAAAAAATTCAGAAATGTGCATGTTTGATTCTTTTAAGTCAATATATTAATATTAATATTGCAATTATATATTGCATTATTCCATAATACTACTGTTTTCCCAGGGAAATATGAAGGAATAAAAATCGTATTGAATCGTATTACATGAAAAAATCGTATTGTCCCCGGGAAAAATCGTATTGGAGCATATCACATGAAAAAATCGTATTGTCCCCGGGATAAAAATCGTATTGGAGCATATTAACCCATTTTCGGTTTTCCCGTTATTTTTTGCCGGTTATTTGGATTATCCAAATGTATCATTTTAGAGGGGTGTATTATGGAATAAATAGGTTATTTCTAGTCGGGATTGAATATAGGTTTCATTCCTCGGAAAATATGATATTGACCTTGGGCTATATGATATTGACACTCGGTCGCTGCGCTCCCTCGGTCAATATCATATTACCCTTCGGTCAATATCATATTGTCCCTCGGAATAAAACCCATATTCAATCCCTCCCAGTAAATAACCCATATATATTAGAAAATTCCATCGTGAATCTTTTGAGAAAATGACATTTTAGTAAAGCCATATTGATAGCAATTTATAATGGCAGTCAATAGGGATTTTTCAAAATTCAAAAGCCAATATCTTTGGAACTAGGCAAAAGTAGAAAGCTAACCCTTCTTATTTTGAAAATAATGATGTTATTGTAATATACCAGCAATATGGGCTTTACTACTCCAGAACTACTCTGCAGCCGGTCTTTTGAAGATTGATAAATTAACATGGTACTCAATATAGGTTTTCTATAGTTTCGTGTGCAACTAAAGGCTAAATATTTCAAAAATAAGAAATTTTTAGAAATGTGTCTGTTTGATTTGTTTAAATTCAATATATTTACTATAGAAATCTGCAATATTAAAAAATTCCATAGTGGACTTTTTGAGAAAAGGACACTTTAGTAAAGCCATGTTGATAGTGGTTTATAATAGCAGCCAATGGAGATTTTCCAAAATCCAAACGTCAATATCTTTTGAACTAGGCAAAAGAAAAAATTTAACTCCTCTTATTTTGAAGATAATCATGTTATTGTAACATACTAGGAATATGGGCTTTATTGCTCTAGAACTGTTCTGCAGGGGTTCCTTCGAAGATCGCTAAATTAACATTGGGCTCAATATAGGTTTTTTCGTTTCGTGTGCAACTTAACAGCTTACTATTTCAAAAATAAGAAATTTTTAGAAATGTGTCTGTTTGATTTTTTTAAAGCCAATATATTAACTATAGAAATCTGCAATATTAGAAAATTCCATAGTAAACTTTTTGAGAAAAGCCATATTGATAGCGTTTTATAATGGCAGTCAATGGGAATTTTCCAAAATTCAAAGGCCAATATCTTTGGAACTAGGCAAAAGAAAAAATTTAACCCTTCTTATTTTGAAGATAATCATGTAATTGTAACATGCTGGGAATATGGGCTTTATTACTCTAGAACTGTTCTGCAGGAGGTCTTTAGAAGATTGATAAATTAACATGGGGCTCAATGTAAAAGTGTAAAATCTTCGAGGGCTGCTATTATTAAATGGGGACACTTTTCATTACCACTTCGTTAGATATCAAAACTATATGTATTAATGATACTTTGGTCAAAAAATGGTGCTTTATATATAGCAAGTGCAATTGAACAGCTAACTGGCCCCACTACATGACCTTAGTCCGCAGTTGTTATTTCAGAAAACATGTCGATGTATGTTCTAGGTCTACATATTTTTATTTCAGTTTTTATTTATCTGAGATTACTATGGCGATTGAACACTTACATTCACAAGGAATTATATACAGGGACCTTAAGCCAGAAAATATACTGCTAGATACAAAAGGTAAAGAGAACTCCAATGATACTCCCCCTCCTTCTTTGGAATGTTCTTCATTTAGTCATTTTATTAAAGAAATATTAAAAGGTTTAGAGACTGAAAAATGTTGGAAGCAATGTTTTCAAAAGGCCCATTCTTATTCTTATTCCAAATTATTGAAACGTTAAAAAAGATGTGTCCTCTAACTTTCGAGTTTTTGACAGATAACTCAAAAATTAAAGAATTATCTCAAAGTAAAGTCAGGCGCATTTGTAAGAGTCTTCACATTAAAAGCTTTTACATAAATAAATGCAGAATTTGGCTAATTTTAGCCACAATATTGTCATTATCCCATCCCGGAGGGATATTGGGAACGCCTCCGTCCGTCCGTCCGTCTGTCCGTCCGTACGTACTTCCGTCCGTCCGGGCAATAACTCAAATACCGTTGGCCCGATTTTGTTCATATTTTGTACACATATACCCTATGGGGGTAGAAGTTCTGCTCGAAAGCCGATTTTCAAAATGGCCGCTCATTTCAAAATGGCAGCCATTTTAGTGCCGAATTTACAGTAATTTAGGTGCAATATGTAAAACTGTAATAACAATATGTTTTAGATGTAAAAAAATTATATACGACATTAATAAATCTAGAAATGTATATATTAAAGAAGCACATTGTAGCCATCTTGAAAAATGGCGGTCTTTACTCGTTATTTTACGATTTTTGCTGTAACTCGAAAAGTAGTGGAGTGATTTTGTTCATATTTGATATGTGAATACTATAAACATTGCACACTGTCTAAAGACACTTTTAGTAGAAGGCGGCCATTTTGAAAATGGACGCCATTTTTCAAAATGGCCGCCATTTTAACGTATTTTACTATAACTCGAAAAGTAGTGGAGCGATTTTGTTCATATTTGGTATGTGAATACTATAAGCATGACCCACTGTCCTATGACACTTTTGGTAGAAGGCGACCATTTTGAAAAAAAATTTGAAAAATGGCCGCCATTTTAACAAATTTTACTATAACTCGAAAAGTAGTGAAGCGATTTTGTTCATATTTGGTATGTGAATACTGTAAGAATGGTACACTGTCTAATGACACTTTTGGTAGAAGGCGGTAATTTTTCAAAATGGCCGCCATTTTAACGTATTTTACTATTACTCGAAAAGTAGTGGAGCGATTTTGTTTATATTTGGTATGTGAATACTTTAAGCACGACACACTGTCTAATGGCACTTTTGGTAGAAAGTGGCCATTTTGAAAAATGGCCGCCATTTTAACGTATTTTACTATAACTTGAAAAGTAATGGAGCGATTTTGTTTATATTTGGTATGTGAATACCATAAGCATGGCACATGGTCTAATAGCACTTTTGGTAGAAGGTGGCCATTTTGAAAAATGGCTGCCATTTTTGCTATATCCTTTGTTTGCAAAAATGCCCTCCATGGCTGTTCGATGGGATTCGCTACGCTTTGGCGTTGCCGTTGTTCTGGTTTTTACCGCACTTTGAAAAATCCTATATTCTTTTTGCCTTTTGCAAGGCTTGTGTTTGGGCAAGTAAGCAGGTGCCACACAATTCTTGTCATCAATATTCTAAAAAATTCCCTTCGCAATTTAACTTGAAATTGTTACAGATTCAAGAGCAGAAAAGCGTCTAGATCTGGTTAGGTTTTGGGCATGCTGGGTAAAATGTATGTCAGTCAATGCGCAATAATTATCACTGCTTGTTTTGTTCACTTTAACCAAGCATGACAAATTCATATTTATTACAATGCGATTGCTTGTCCTGTGTTGTAGGTCATATAAAACTTACAGACTTTGGGCTGTGTAAGGAATCCATTCACGATGGAACTTTCACTCACACGTTCTGTGGAACAATAGAATACATGTAAGTACATAATTCTAATTTCTAAAAATCTAATTTTTAAAAATCCTGAAATATTGAACAAAAAGTACAAATGCTAAAATGGTCTACTGAAACTAGGTTTCAAAATTGTGCAAAAATTCCTGCAAAAATCTTTGGAAGCTCATTGAGCATTCCAAAACATCAACAATATTATTGTGTGACAAAGTGCATGACAAGATATTATGAAGCATGACAAGATATTATGAAGCATGACAAGATATTATGAAGCATGACAAGATATTATGAATTATAGAGAAAGTGTACAACATATGAAATTACGATGAATGTAATTGAATTAAAAAACATTTAAAATCATTTCTATTGCTTTATTTAAGGGCTCCTGAGATTCTGACGAGAAGTGGTCACGGCAAAGCTGTTGATTGGTGGAGCTTAGGAGCACTGATGTACGACATGTTGACTGGAGCTGTGAGTAGTTCATTTCCTCAGGGAGTATTCCTTATAGCCATTTCCAGGAAAATTATCAATTTTGAAGTTAACAATTAAGTGCTTGTCAAAATATCTATTTATCATATTCATGTTAATTCTTAATCTACAACAGAAATCTAGATATTATTATGAATAAGAACAACATTGTTTTATGGATTTTTTTCGAAATTTGCAGTCTACAAATATAAATGTATTGCAGAAATGGAGCCATATAAATCATATAAACTGAATTGAATTAGTGACCTTTTTGTCCCTTCTTTGTATGATCGTATGTGTGATAACCTTATTTAGGTCAAGGTCATCTTGATTGATGTCAAGGTCATCTCTATTTCCAGCCTCCTTTTACTGCTGAAAATAGAAAGAAAACAATAGATAAAGTAAGTTGATTTCTTTAAATTAAACTCAAGTTCTAGTTCAAAAAATGATCTTTCAGGGAGATTCTCATTTGTTCACGGAAGTTGGTAGAATATTGTAGTAAACTATGATATGGTCCCTGAGCAATGATTCTATTTGTGTATTTTCAAGCATGTATGTTCATCAAGAGTTTATGTTGACGATTAACCAATAGAATTCAATTATTATTATTGTGTTATATATTTAATTGTTTCATTTATCGTTTCAGATTTTAAAAGCAAAGTTGTCCTTTCCGCCATATTTAACATGTGAGGCTAGAGGACTTATAAAAAAGGTAGGTCGCTTAAATATATATGCGTGCATGCAAAGCATATCTTATATATCATTACCAAGTTGACAGTTGAGAAAAAAACTATAAATAGTTTCATAATGTGTCATTTCACATCAAAGAGTTGCTTATGCAGGCCAAAATGTAAAAAGGCCAAACCTTGAAAACCCCTTTCAAAAATGTCTGGGTGAATTTGATTCTTTTGAGTCAAACTGTACAAAACATTTATGACGTGTGAAAAAAAATTAAGCACATGGATCGTAGGTTATCTAATTCACTAATTTCTTGTACTCCAGCCGCTGCCCTCATTCAAAGTCTGATACAAGGCTCTAATGCTTAAAACCATCCATAATTTATTTAGCCCACATAAAATCTTTATGTGATTAAAACTGTATTGACAATCATTCATTTGTACGTAAATTTATATTATTTCAGCTTCTCAAAAAGAATGTACAAGAGAGACTGGGATATGGAGAAGAAGATGGAAAAGCTATTAAAAACCACTTATGGTTCAGGCATATCAACTGGACTGACTGTTGTAATAGGAAAATAGAGCCCCCATTTAAACCTAGTATTGTAAGTTATGCTATTAAAAACCAGCTTTGGTTCAGACATATCAACTGGACTGACTGTTGTAATAGGAAAATAGAGCCCCCATTTAAACCTAGTATTGTAAGTTATGCTATTAAAAACCAGCTTTGGTTCAGACATATCAACTGGACTGACTGTTGTAATAGGAAAATAGAGCCCCCATTTAAACCTAGTATTGTAAGTTATGCTATTAAAAACCACCTTTGGTTCAGGCATATCAACTGGACTGACTGTTGTAATAGGAAAATAGAGCCCCCATTTAAACCTAGTATTGTAAGTTATGCTATTAAAAACCACCTTTGGTTCAGGCATATTGACTGGACTGACTGTTGTAATAGGAAAATAGAGCCCCCATTTAAACCTAGTATTGTAAGTTATGCTATTAAAAACCAGCTTTGGTTCAGACATATCAACTGGACTGACTGTTGTAATAGGAAAATAGAGCCCCCATTTAAACCTAGTATTGTAAGTTATGCTATTAAAACCACCTTTGGTTCAGACATATCAACTGGACTGACTGTTGTAATAGGAAAATAGAGCCCCCATTTAAACCTAGTATTGTAAGTTATGCTATTAAAAACCACCTTTGGTTCAGGCATATCAACTGGACTGACTGTTGTAATAGGAAAATAGAGCCCCCATTTAAACCTAGTATTGTAAGTTATGCTATTAAAAACCACCTTTGGTTCAGGCATATTGACTGGACTGACTGTTGTAATAGGAAAATAGAGCCCCCATTTAAACCTAGTATTGTAAGTTATGCTATTAAAAACCACCTTTGGTTCAGGCATATCAACTGGACTGACTGTTGTAATAGGAAAATAGAGCCCCCATTTAAACCTAGTATTGTAAGTTATGCTATTAAAAACCACCTTTGGTTCAGGCATATTGACTGGACTGACTGTTGTAATAGGAAAATAGAGCCCCCATTTAAACCTAGTATTGTAAGTTATGCTATTAAAAACCAGCTTTGGTTCAGACATATCAACTGGACTGACTGTTGTAATAGAAAAATAGAGCCCCCATTTAAACCTAGCATTGTAAGTTATGCTATTAAAAACCAGCTTTGGTTCAGACATATCAACTGGACTGACTGTTGTAATAGGAAAATAGATTTAAAAGTAATGAATACAATTTCAGATGATAAATTGCTCACAATATGTAAAAAATGTTCATATTCAAATAGAGCCCCTGTTTAATCTAGTATTGTAAATAACGAATACCATTTCAGATTTTTAATTCTGCTCAATATGTAGAAAATGTCTAAAGGGATGGTTATCCTGCTGCATGAAGTTTGAGTAGGGATATTAGATATGTTTTGTTTGGTGGGATTTGCTACTTTAGGGAGATTCACAATGTTAAATTAATGTCTTATGAGTAAAATTAATGTCTTATGAGTAATTCATTTAATGTCTAAATGAATTACTCATTTAGACATTAAATGAGACATTAGTTAATCTGAAAACTTAATCTGAAAACATAGGATCAAATCCTTAGCATTTGATCTTATGTTTTCAGATTAAGTTTTCAGATTAACTAATGTCTCATTTAATGTCTAAATGAGTAATTCATTTTTATGAGTGCATTCGCCGTTTGAAACTCACAGCTGGCAGACTGCCAATGGCAACCACATTTCGCTTTTGGCAGTGAATTTGAAAATTGAGTTGCCTATTGGGTAATGGACTGGATGTCAATATGTTTCATTTACACTGGAGTAAAAGTGTCACATTTAGTAATAATGATTTTATTTGCAGACATCAGAGGAAGATGTGAGTCAGTTTGACACTAAGTTTACACAACAACCTGCAGTTGACTCTCCCGATGATTCCATGCTCAGTGACAGTGCAAATCAAGTATTTCTAGTAAGTTCACCAATCACGTTCTCTTTTGATATTTCTCTTAAACTTGAACAAACTGCCTCCTTATCTGGCATTTCTGTTCAATTTAACTTCTTGACCTCCAAGAGTGACAAGATTTCTTGTCACCCAAGAAATGACCTTGAAACCCAGAGTGACGGGATAATCTGTTGCAAAACTTTTCAACCATATATGTTAAAAATATGTTTAAGATGTGTAGAAATGATCTCTGCTGATTTATTGTACTATATTGTACTATATTTATTGTACTACAATGCCTGTTGTAAATGAATGTAGTAAAATGTCAAATACTGGCAAACTGAAAAAACAGAATTTAGAGCCTAGGATTCAAGAGATTAAAAAGAATTTAAAGGTTATTCCTTCTTCCTTTATACTCTTCCACTCTTTGTGCCATTACAAAACATAGCACTTCTGTTGCTGATGTACCTCCCCTAATTTCTTGGATGATGGATCGATCCCTAACATCAATTTTATTTAAATTGAGGGCAAGACCTTATCTACTTGTGCTATACTATTAAGTTTGTGGACATTGAATTGAGGTGTCACACATGCCAATTATAATGTTTTTAACTTTAGCTTTTTGTCCTTAACATAATTATTTTCACAAAAAATTTGTATAGGCCTCTTATCTACAAACCATCATAATTTCATATAAATTCTTCCTTTAGGGTTTCACGTATGTTGCGCCATCTATACTTGCGGACATGAACAAACCAATCCCTGACATCACAGAAATTAGACGCAGGAATTCAAAAGTTTGTAACGCACATTTCTTTAATTTGCTAGATTGAGGCTTCCGTCTGGCTATGGGTCTGCTGTTTGTATTCCAGGGGCTGCTCTTTATGTATCTTATTATGTTATGTTTAGCACAAAGCTTATTCTATCATTCAGACACAAGGAGTCATATATGCCTAATTAAAAGGTTTGCATGAGACCCCCCACTAAGGAGGGTTGGGAATTTGATACACAGTATTGTCCCCGGTATGGGGTTTTAAGTTTTGACATAGTAGGGGAAATTGACTCTCTTAAGTTGCTCCAAACAAAGGAAATTTAACATACTTATTTTTGTTTTGTTAAATTCCCCACTCCTTCCTGTGTGGGAGTCTCATGCAAAAATTTGAATGGTGTATTATCAACAAGTTATGTTCACATATTTATCTATCCCACCCTTAGTGATATAGTTGTTCTATGATAGGGCTCTCTTTTAGAAGTGCCAGTTGCATTCACCATTCACTCTTTCACCTATGCTGGACTTAGAAGTGCATTTACATCTAAAATATGAGGCTCTAGGAGGGGTTTGTCACTTTGATGATGTTAATTTGCAATGTTTAGTGTTAGTGTCATATGATAATATAAACAGAGACTGATTATACACATTTAAAAGTGAAGATTGTGTACAAATTGTGAAAAATGAAAAATCATACAGATTTTAGTCTCAAGGGGCTGTCTGTTAGAGAAATATTCATTTAAAGAATATGGACACCTATTAATGGAATCCATTTTGAAACAGATGTATGGAGGCATTTTCAATTATTTATAACTTCTTGAACTTAAGTCGATAGTATAATAACATTATTTTTTCAAAAAATTACTGTTTTGATTAGGAATATTATTACTCCATTTATAAGACCATGGGCTTCTATATGGATATTGGGTGGCAGGATGCTACATAAGTCATTGGGCCAGATTGTTCAATCTGGGACATTTTGGCAGGTGATCAGATGATGTACCTTGGTGGCTAATATAGATGGTCTCAGATTGTTCAATCTGGGACATTTTGGCAGGTGATCAGATGATGTACCTTGGTGGCTAATATAGATGGTCTCAGATTGTTCAATCTGGGACATTTTGGCAGGTGATCAGTTGATGTACCTTGGTGGCTAGTATAGATATAAATCCATAATGACTTTACATTGTTAGCGCCCCAGTTTTTATAGATCTTTTATAGGTCCATTATCATGTGAATGCTACTCATCTTTACAAATACTACTTGTTCATGCAAATACTACTTGTACATGCAAATACCATTTGTCCATGCAATATTACTTGTACATGCAAATATTAATAATACTTAGAGATACTTGTACATGTAAATGCTACTTGTACATGTAAATGCTACTTGTACTTGTAAATACTACTTGTACATGTAAATGCTACTTGTACTTGTAAATACTACTTGTACATGTAAATACTACTTGTACATGTAAATGCTACTTGTACATGTAAATGCTACTTGTACATGTAAATACTACTTGTACATGTAAATGCTACTTGTACATGTAAATGCTACTTGTACATGTAAATGCTACTTATACATGTAAATGCTACTTTTACATGCAAATGCTACTTGTACATGTAAATGCTACTTGTACATGTAAATACTACTTGTACATGTAAATACTACTTGTACATGTAAATGCTACTTGTACTTGTAAATGCTACTTGCACATGCAAATGCTACTTGTACATGTAAATGCTACTTGTACATGTAAATACTACTTGTACATGTAAATGCTACTTGTATGCAATATTACTTGTACATACAATTATTAAAGGCAGAATCTGATCTATAGGGGGTGACAAAATTACAAGCAACATGTATAATTGACCTTCCAATCTATTCCTTACACTATCAAATACAATATCTCCCAAAAGATTCACAATATGTTATAAATTGGTGAAGTTATTAATGATTCAAAGTGCAAAAATGGGTGAAAAATGTTTAAATTCTCCCAAATAATAAGAATGGTAACCATTCTTAAAGAAAAATAATATATTATTGTAAAAATCTTTAATTTTCCTGGAATAAAGTATGCACTTTTGTGATTTTTAGAAAATAGACATGACAAGGAATGACATGAGCCAAAAATATTCTAAAATTGAAACAATTTTTTGTTTAGCCTGCTCGCTTTATCTGATTCTCTCTTTAATAATACTTGTCATTGATACTTGCACATGCAAATGCTACTTGTACATGTAAATGCTACTTGTACATGCAAATACTACTTGTACATGTAAATACTACTTGTACATGTAAATGCTACTTATACATGTAAATGCTACTTTTACATGCAAATGCTACTTTTACATGCAAATGCTACTCCTACATGCATGCGTATATGCAGTCATACATTGCAGATGTATGCATAATCCAAGCTATTGCAATGCAAATGCAAGGCTGAATATGTTATCAAAATTGATGCATTGTTAACATAAATGACATATTAGAAATTACAAGGGCCAGTTTCTATTAGTGTTGTCACGATGTGCCATAATCGTACATCGATGCATCGGCAATTTTCAGTAGTAAACATCGATGCACATTGCGATGTACATCGAGAAAAAGTCAGAGAAAAGTGCACTGAAATACCGAACGCTAATGCACTAAAATACCGAACAGAACAAATTAATAAGAGTACGCTGGTACATCCGGGAACTTCTAGTAACGATGAAATGAAAGTAAAGTAATTTTTTTTAGATTAATGGTTCATTTCGACTAGCTAAAACAGTTTAAAAGCGAAACAATATCAGAAAACATTGGAAAATGAATAAGACATGAGAAAGGTAAGCGATTGCGTCAAAATAAGATAAGAAAGGGTGATTTTTAGCAAATTAAATTTTTTTTAAAAACATCGATGTTTTGTTTCAGACATCGATGTATCGCCAGAATCAGCTTTGGCGATGTATATCGCGATGTATCGATTAATCGCGACAACACTAGTTCCCATATTGGTGTATAATAGCATGACCCTTGTGGTCATTTTTCAATGAAAACACCATTGTTACTGTGAACATTCTAATGCCCTCTTGTTTTAAAAACATCCAAATCCACCCCTTCTACAATGTACAGAATGAAACCTTTCAGCCATGTGTAGAACACTTCCATTGTGTTTTAAACACTCCCACCAAGTTTTGAACATTTCAACCATGTTTTAAACACTCCCACAAAGTTTTGAACATTTCAACCATGTTTTAAATACTTCTACCATTTTTGACTTACTGTTTGTTTATACGTTTCAGGGCTTCACTTATATAGCGCCATCTGTATTAGAAGAAATGAACAAACCTTGGAGGGAAGTGAAAGAACCACGATCACCCAGGAAAATTGGACCATCTCCGATCACATCGAGAACATCATGCATGAGGTAAGGAATAGTCAGATAGTTACAAAGGAATAGTCAGATAGTTACAAAGGAATAGTCAGATAGTTACAAAGGAATAGTCAGATAGTTACAAAGGAATAGTCAGATAGTTACAAAGGAATAGTCAGATAAGTGTGTAACATGTTTGAATGGTTGTTGTCAAAATAATGTCAAGTGATCGATGAAACATTATAAAACAAAATGGAGCCAAAAAGTACATTGAAGAATATTTTATTAAACTTTTGTCAGGATTTTTGGCAACCACACGATAAATCCCAATTTTTTTTATCGAAATTATGACTATAAATCAAAGATACTAGCTTTCTACAGTGTTTGTTTCAAGTAAACACAGGTAAAGTTATTATCATCAAATTCATTTAGAAATGAAAATTAGTGACAAAAAACTATAAATTCCCTCCATGGACATCTTTTTTAAAAATGAAGATAGTGATGTTAATCGCAATTCTGCTTCTTTTTCAGTCCCGTGAAGCAGCAAGAAAATGCAACATTTGGTTTTAATTTAAATGGAACTGTAGATGAAGATATGGAAATGGACACTAGTTCTCCATCTAGCCACCATGTGGCAGCAGCAGGTCAACATCGATCTCCAGCAATCGCAACAAAAAATAAAGATGGTAGTAAACGGGAAGTTTTTCCTGGTACTCAAAATAGACCTCCCCATCTACGTCTCGCATAGTCATAGATTTGATAGGATAATTTTAGTGGATTTTATTACGTCGTCAATTATAGAGGTTGGAGAAGGCAATACTGAAATTAGTCAAGCTTTAATAGTAACTTATAATCGGAAAGAACACCAGCATGCCATATAAGGAGATACCTCTTGCAAAAATCGTAAAAATAACCTGTAAACAAATGTGTATATTTATATTTACAAAGTACGCAGATGAATATTTATAGATAAATTCTGGGTGAAAGTATGACTATGATGGTATTTGGGAGAAGCAAACCTTATGCCTCTGGAGAATGGAAATGGATATTTTGGTGGAGTTGAAAACAAATGATCATCAGAAAGCAACATTTATAACATGTGATCAATAGAAAGCAACATTTAAACAAATGGCCATCAGAAAGCAACATTTAAATGTGTGATCAATAGAAAGAACATGTAAACCTCAATCATACACCAATGATTATGGTTGAGATTTCATGAAACAAACATGTGGAGTTCATGAAAAGAATATTGTTTGAATTTTATGAAACAAACATTGTTTGGATTTCATGAAGAGAATATGGTTTGAATTTCATCAAACAAACATTGTCATGAAACTAATATGGTTTGGAATTTCATGATTTTAAATGGAGCCACAATGACTCTCTTGATGGAGTTGGGTATCATAGGAAAGAACACTAAACCAATGCAAGTTTATTTCTTGGATTTAGTGGTTTTCAACTCACATTTGAGTGAGTGAAAATGATTCCACAGTTTTCAACTTATAGAAAGATCTTTTACTTACAGAGATTAAGCTCAACTTAAAGGGTTGTTTCACTAAATCAACACAAACTTCATTTTGTTCAAAAGAATAGTTCCCCCAAAAATACTTTGTTTTATTTGCACTGTCAGTCAAGTTCAGGATGAGTAAGATTGGGAAATGGGTGTCTCATGGATTTTTTAGTTGATTTAAAGTTTCTGACATGACGAGATACAGTGGACCCCTTGAGTGCTAAAATGTCAAGGTAGTTGGGGAGCATGTCAAAATATCAACAAAGTTTCATTTCTAAATATAGTTTGAACATTAGTGTCTTTTTGTAAAATATTGATTTTGGTTGAAAATATTAGATAACTTTGTGTTCAAATAGATTAACACACATACGCAATTCTTATACTTCTAAGAAGAGGGTGGGATGTTTTAATCAAAGTTTCTGTAAAATATAGTGCCAGGTTTTATTTCTAGCTGTGGAGAACAGTGAAGTGTATGTATCGTTGATTTCAAATTCCAATTCTAAGAAAAGAAGTTTGGAACTAGAATGTTTTAGTTGCTAATGCTAATGTAAGATTATTTTATTATGTCTTCCTTTCAGGTTTTGTATTATAACAATGAGATGATATTTTTAATTGAAACCTTACAATAGACCAAAGTATTTTTGTAAAATGTATATTGTGCTACTTTTCTGCAATCTTGTGTATCTCTAATGTTTCTTAAATACCAAATATTTTATGAAAAATCCTTAATTATGTTAGTACACTTACTTAATTCTGATTGGTCAGTCAGAGTACCTCAGTCTTAATACTTATTCTGATTGGTCAATCAGGGTACCTCAGTCTTAATACTTATTCTGATTGGTCAATCAGGGTACTTTAGTCTCAATACTTATTCTGATTGGTCAGTCAAAGTACCTTAGTCTTAATACTTATTCTGATTGGTCAATCAGGGTACCTCGGTCTTAATACTTATTCTGATTGGTCAGTCAGGGTACCTCGGTCTTAATACTTATTCTGATTGGTCAGTCAGGGTATCTTTCTCTAAATACTTCATTCTGATTGGTCAGTCAGGGTATCTTTCTCTAAATACTTCATTCTGATTGGTCAATCAGGGTACAAATTGTTGAGCTGTATTCATTCAATAATAGACTCGGTTAATTGTTTTCCAAAGTTGTAAACCTCACTCTCCTTTTACTGTTGATTGAACAGTTAATGCCAACATTGAAATAAATTGTTTTACAGTGAAGATGTAACTGTACAGTGTACATGTATATATAATCACCCAGGCCAACTATTTTCAACCCAACATAAAAGGAGGGATTACCCCAGATTTTATGGATACACCTATCTCTGTATAAAGATGAATCTAAACTTATCTCTACCAAAAGAAGAGCTCCAACAACTCTAGAAGTTCATCTTTAGATGGTGATAGATTCATCTATCATGAATTCTGGATTAATTCCCACATCTTCATGTATTTGGGTGAACTGTATGAAACACATACACCTTACTAACCCAATATACAAAACTAAAATGTACATTTCTTTGTATTTTACATGGCTCAATTTCTTCCTGTTTTTCCCTGTTCTTGTATATAGCTAGCTCTATAAAGGTGAAAGAGGCTCTTTTAAAAGCAGGGATTTATGCTGGTTTGTTCATTCTTATATTTCACATTTATGAAAGCCATATTGTAATGTAGAGGAAACATTTATTTATGTATATTTGTGTAGCAGGTGAATGAGGAGGTGCTTTATGTATCCCACAATGCACCAACCGGTCCCATGATACCTTCTGATGCCATCCAATGAAATGCCTCATTGAACATGTCGACTAAACAACTTCTAATTTTTATTAAAATCTGATGTGTGAATTTTTTTAATTTCACAACTTAACCTCAAGTAAACATTTGAGGGAAATATGATTTTAGTATATGATTTTTAATTGTGCCATAGGCTAAAGGACGATGGAAATAAGCTTAAGTACATATTAGATATTGATGGAATGTGGCTTTAATTACACCAATACAACCTATAGCGATATACCTCTCTCTGTAAATACAAGTAGTATAAAAACATCTTTAATTGAATTATCAGTTGTATCTGGATTAATTAAATTCCTTTCTTATAGAAAAATAATAAATCAAGAAATGTTGTAATTACGACTGATTATTCCGCTGAATGATTCGTTCCGAGAGGATACAGAGAGGTTCATTCCTTTGTCCAATCACTAGTTGAGGGATTTGATTCAAATTTTATAGACTGATGCCATTTGGGCATGGACCTCTGCTCAAGAAACGATTTCAATATGATCACTCACTCCATTTTCAACTTGAAGTACTGTTTTGTCAATCAATTTCCCTTTTCACCATTTTGGACCTCAAATATATCCAGTACATGTTATTAGCACTTAGGACCTGTGGTCTTTAAGCAAATACTCACTGGATCTCAATCATGTCATGTGTTGGCATTGGCGCTATGTCATGTGTTGGCATTGGCATTATGTCATGTGTTGGCATTGGCATTATGTAATGTGTTGGCATTGGCATTATGTCAGGTGTTGGCATTATGTCAGGTGTTGGCATTGGCATTATGTCATGTGTTGGCATTGGCATTATGTATGTGTTGGCATTGGCATTATGTCACGTGTTGGCATTGGCATTATGTCACGTGTTAGCATTGGCATTAGTCAAGTACTGTTTTAATTTGTTTTGCTCAAGTTTTATAGAATGTTATTGTACTCTAAAAAACAATATTCCAAGAAAACAACTGATCCATTCAACTTGTATTTTGAAATATGCAACATCTGATTAGGTTTTGGGCACACTTGGTAAATTACATGGTGGCCATTTTCTCTTAAAGTCAGTGATACTTGTCACTGTATGTCTTGAATTCTTTTTGTTGTTCAAAATAATTTTACATGAAATATTTGACCCTTAGTTTGATGAATATTCAATTGTGGTAAACGAGCAAATACATTTTGAAGATTTGGACATAAGTACATATCAACTGCTTTATATATTAAACTAAGGTATAATCATGTGCCTTGTAAATCTACCAAATAAAAGTAAGATTGTCCCTTTAAGGCATGTGAGATGTAATAAAATGTGTAATATGCACACGAAGCAATTGCAGTATTCAATTGAGTATAAATTAGAAAAAGATTTCATGGGTATAGCCAGGCTTCAACAAAATATTGCGTCAAAAGATTTTCAGACATTTTAATTAAAATTGTGGAAATAAAGTCCAAATGGGCAATATACCTCTTTAAGCCTCTTTGCCTCACCAATTAATGTTATGCCTCACCTTACTTATACCCTGGCAACGCCCCTGGATTTGATATTCAGAGTTAATATGTAAAGTTGAATGATACTGGGCTATACAATGATTTAAGGCATTTATATAAAATATGATATGGAGTGTCATAAAATTATCTGTACATCTGTATATAAAATCATATATGTCCAGATTATTTCATAAATGTATGTTAAACAACCAAATAAATATTTAAAACAAATAATCTCAGTGTTTTGTCATCAATATAACATAATATTCCATAATACTACTGTTTCCCAGGGAAATATGAAGGAATAAAAATTGTATTGAATCTGCACTCCCTCGGTCAATATTATATTACCCTTCAGTCAATATCATATTGTCCCTCGGAATAAAACCCATATTCAATCCCTCCCAGTAAATAACCTATATATACGAGGGTATATCATAAAGTTCTCATAATATCTCTCTAATTTTTTTATTTTTCAATATCTTCTGATGAATTTTTCACAGAATGTGTAGTATAGAATGCTGTATTAATCTGTCAATAAATAGTTGGTATAACGGAAATATTATTTAAGAAATGGTTGCCATAATAACCGGAAATCAAGGCACCCGGGGCAAATAAAAAATCGTGCAAGAATAGCCCCAACTAACCATGTTTAAATGCATAATAAGTTTTCAAATAAGCTATGAAACACATTAAATTGTTAAATACCATGTGTTCTTGACTGTTTTGAACAATTATAATGGTCATGTGAATTGTGTGATCTCATAATGGATGATTGTAATGCTTCATTAGAAGTGATGTTAGACACTACAACCGTTTTGTCAAATATTCTAAGGAAAGTAGATTTCTCCTTTAGTTCATCTTAAATATGTTTAGACTACAAATATGGGGGTAATTTTGTTGATATCTTTGCAACATCTTTGTTTTAGATCATCTTTAGTATAAGCAAAAGGATTTATCGAACTTAGCTAGACTTTTTGTAGGTATGACTTTTATTTTTCTGATGATTTCTGCATCTATGCATGATCTTATTCAGTCATTTCTGATCATTAGCTTTGATTCTGAGTCTGGTATCACATCTAATAAAGCAGGTAAGCATCCCCTATGACATCACACAATTCACATGATCAATTTATTTTATAGTAAAAGCATTTTAACAACATATTCAAGATAACATTTTAATGTGTTTGATAATTTATGAGAGTTTATTATGTATATAAACACGGTTAATTAAGCTCATTTTCTCAACTATTTTTATTTGCCCCGGGTGCCTTGATTTCCGGTTACTATGGCAACCATTACTTATCTAATATTTCTGTTATACCAAATATTTTTTGATAGATTAATAGAGTGTTCTATACTGCAGATTTCATGAAAATTTCATTAGAATATATTGAAAAATAAAAAAGTTAGAGAGATATTATGAGAACTTTATGATATACCCTCGTATATCTACAATTATATGTAGTGGACATTTTTTCATTAAATATCAGACAGGTTTTACTTCTTTTTTCAAGGCTAAAATATCAATTTTCATATCGCTTACAAGTTACAACACATGTTCAGGAAAAACGATTTAAATGAGATGAGTGTTGTGGGACTGAAATTATAGCAAAGTGATTGTTATTATTATGTATACGAGTATATATTATATTGAAGTCTAATGATAATTCCAAAAGTGTGAAGTATAAATTATGTGGATTTTTTAGTTCTTGATCACCAAAGAGATTCATATCCACCTTGTCATATTTCTACATTCCCCAGAGGTCAGGCTAAGGTCAAGGTCCTATAAATCCTTCCAGTGGCCTCTCGATTCTGTTGCAAATAACTTGTGCAAAAACGTGTTCTGCTTGTGTTGCATTGGGGTCATTCAATCCAATGGAGATTAAAAAAACAAATTAATTTCACAGAATATTATAAAAGTTAAGAGAATACCTTATTTATATATATTTCTTTTTTATAAGGTACATTTCAATAAAATACATGTATCTACAATGTATACTTATACATTAACAATTGAATAAAAATTAATGCAAAATATATACAAATAACAATACTTTTTTATATATCTATACAATTCAATTTCTTGAGGCAAAATTCGAGATTATAAATGATGACAAAATTACAAACAATCATGGATTTGTATTTAAGGTACAATATACATTTCAGTTAAACCTGTCTAATTGGAATGCCATTAGCCAGACCAAGTGTTCAGTTATAAACAGGCTCTCATTGAAGATAAAACTATCTGGACCGAGAAAATCTTCACATTGGGAAATGTTCGGATTAGGGAGTTGTTCTGATGTATAGGTTTTCTGTATTTGGAATGGTAATGTACAGATTGTAAATTGTAAATGACATATAACATAAAGACAACATCTGATCTCTTTTTTAAATGTTAACCTTGTTCACATGGCTGAACAATAAGACTTATGTAGATCTAAGTCCATTGATGTGGTATACATTTTATCACAGTGCTCACACACATATGTATCTTGTGGGGTGTAATCTCCTTGCAGATTCAAGTCTCCTTGTTCACCTGGGGATGCGGATTTAGCACCTGACGGACCTGAAGGAGGTCTGCTTTTCACTGAAAGTACACAATGTTATATTGGTAGTTCTCATTCTCAATTTTGATTGGTCAAAGCATGTAATAGTTTTAACCTACACATGCATTGCCAGTTAATAGATCAGTAAAACCTGTCTAATCTAAATGCCATTTGGGAACAGCATTCAGATTGGCAGGTGTTCATTCTTTGAGGTTTTTAATATGGAAGTCAAGCATTCAGATTGGCAAGTGTTCACTCTGAGGTTTTTAACATGGAAGTCTAGCATTCAGATTGGCAGGCATTCACTCTTTGAGGTTTTTAAAATGGAAGTCTAGCATTCAGATTGGCAGGTGTTCACTCTGAGTTTTTAACATGGAAGTCTAGCATTCAGATTGGCAGGTGTTCACTCTTTGAGGTTTTTAATATGGAAGTCAAGCATTCAGATTGGCAGGTGTTCACTCTGAGGTTTTTAACATGGAATTCTAGCATTCAGATTGGCAGGCATTCACTCTTTGAGGTTTTTTGCATGGAAGTCTAGCATTCAGATTGGCGGGCATTCACTCTTTGAGGTTTTCAACATGGAAGTCTAGAATTCAGATTGGCAGGTGTTCACTCTTTGAGATTTTTAATATGGAAGTCAAGCATTCAGATTGGCAGGCATTCACTCTTTGAGGTTTTTAACATGGAAGTCTAGCATTCAGATTGGCAGGTGTTCACTCTTTGAGGTTTTTAATATGGAAGTCAAGCATTCAGATTGGCAGGTGTTCACTCTGTAAGGTTTTTAATATGGAAGTCAAGCATTCAGATTGGCAGGTGTTCACTCTTTGAGGTTTTTAACATGGAAGTCTAGCATTCAGATTGGCAGGTGTTCACTCTTTGAGGTTTTTAATATGGAATTTTAGCATTCAGATTGACAGGTGTTCACTCTTTGAGGTTTTTAATATGGAATTCTAGCATTCAGATTGACAGGTGTTCACTCTTTGAGGTTTTTAATATGGAAGTCTAGCATTCAGATTGGCAGGTGTTCACTCTTTGAAGTTTTTAATATGGAATTCTAGCATTCAGATTGACAGGTGTTCACTCTTTGAGGTTTTTAATATGGAAGTCAAGCATTCAGATTGACAGGTGTTCACTCTTTGAGGTTGTTAACATGGAAGTCTAGCATTCAGATTGGCAGGTCATCACTCTTTGAGGTTTTTAATATGGAAGTCTAGTATTCAGATTGGCAGGTGTTCACTCTTTGAGGTTTTTAACATGGAAGTCTAGCATTCAGATTGGCAGGTCATCACTCTTTGAGGTTTTTAATATGGAAGTCTAGTATTCAGATTGGCAGGTGTTCACTCTTTGAGGTTTTTAATATGGAATTCTAGCATTCAGATTGACAGGTGTTCACTTTTTGAGGTTTTTAATATGGAAGTCAAGCATTCAGATTGGCAGGTGTTAACTCTTTGAGGTTTTTAATATGGAAGTCTAGCATTCAGATTGGCAAGTGTTCACTCGTTGAGGTTTTTAATATGGAAGTCTAGCATTCAGATTGGCAGGTGTTCACTCGTTGAGGTTTCTAATATGGAAGTCAAGCATTCAGATTGGCAGGTGTTAACTCTTTGAGGTTTTTAATATGGAAGTCTAGCATTCAGATTGGCAAGTGTTCACTCGTTGAGGTTTTTAATATGGAAGTCTAGCATTCAGATTGGCAGGTGTTCACTCGTTGAGGTTTCTAATATGGAATTCTAGCATTCAGATTGGCAGGCGTTCACTCTTTGAGGTTTTTAACATGGACGTCTAGCATTCAGATTGGCAGGTTTTCACTCTTTGAGGTTTTTAACATGGACGTCTAGCATTCAGATTGGCAGGTGTTCACTCTTTGAGGTTTTTTACATGGAAGTCTATCATTCAGATTGACAGGTGTTCACTCTTTGAGGTTTTTAACATGGACGTCTAGCATTCAGATTGACAGGTGTTCACTCTTTGAGGTTTTTAACATGGAAGTCTAGCATTCAGATTGACAGGTGTTCACTCTTTGAGGTTTTTAACATGGAAGTCTAGCATTCAGATTGGCAGGTGTTCACTCTTTGAGGTTTTTAACATGGAAGTCTATCATTCAGATTGGCAGGTGTTCACTCTTTGAGGTTTTTAACATGGGAGTCTAGCATTCAGATTGGCAGGTGTTCACTCGTTGAGGCTTTTAACATGGAAGTCTATGGCAGATTAAAAATTTAAAAAATGGACCAACAAAAAATCTTTTGAGGAGATCAATAAATGAGTATTATTTAGGTATATAAATAAGATAAGGTTCAAATAATATATCAGACTTACAAATTAATGAATTATAATGAGGAAACTAATATAAATCACATCACATGCAGACCTACAAATAATACATACCTTTATCATTGAGTCCCTTGAGAGCACCAGATCTCTTGAGTTGCAGATAGGCACTTATACTACTAGCATTCATATTGCCGACCTTCATGCTTGCACCTACACTAGATGGCCTTGACCTTTGACCTTTACCTGACTTTGAACTTTTGGCACTGTTTGGTCTACTGCCTTGTCCAATAACAAATGTTGTCATTTTAGTCCCAAGGCCAGGATCTTGATTGGTTTTATCATTGGGTGTAATCATTCTTGAGTTTATGTTATGCGTTGAGTTGAGTTCAGAATGATTGCTCCCTTGTCTGGAGTGGTGGTCTCTTGGCATATTGGAGTTTGATTCTCTATATACATTAGGGTCTCTTTGATATGAGTCATTTTGAAAATTGACGTCTCTGTTTATATTTGCTGATTTATTTAAGTCTCTTTGTATTGTTGATTGAATATTTCCACGATCTCTGTGATTGGATGATTTACTCGGGGGTCGTGGTGGTAGGCCAGATTTTTGCAGACCATCATCTGAACTGGCAGGACTGTAAGTGCGATGAGTATAAGTGGCACCACTATGGGGCTTACTTTGACGTGTTTCTAGATTCCTCGCAGTTCCTACTGGGTCCACGTTTCTTGACCTAAAACAAGACGATGTATGGTATTGTGACCTATTGGTTAGATTTATGACACATCAATTACTGACATACATTACTGCACTTATACAATAGCTTATACAATTTTGTTTATTATTTCCCAGTCTTGTTTCAAACTAAAGAAATGGGAGGTGCTCAGAATAGAGTGGTGTTCAGATGTACATGTTTGACTGTACCTGTAGTTTTCCTGTTGCTTTGGTGGTGATTCAAATGCGTCAGTTCTCCACAGTGGAACAGGTGCATCACTACTCTGTAATAAGTACAGAATAAATATTATATTCACAATTTATATATCATATATACAAGAAATCAATACCTGTTCAGAGGATGGCAGGGAGGCATCACTCTTCAGAAAAGAAGTATGGATACAGTCACATTTAATAAATAATTGGTTCAAGGTTCTAAAATTCTACCTTTCTTTTTGAATAACATATTCTTCAACTTTTGCAGCTAGGTATCTGCGAAATGCTGCTTTATGAAATGAATAGTAATTTAGGCATAACTTGAGTCTACAATAAGTTTAATGAATAAATTATTTCAAAAAATTCAAGCCAAATCAAGGAAACTGAATTCAAAGTGGATAATTCACCACTGTAAAAATCATAAATGGATGAAGGAATGTATTTATTTTAATAACAGTGAATATGATGTTCAGTTTCATTTTCAGTCATGGATACTTCAAATCTTGGAAATTAACATTTTATTTTATATGATTGAATCAAGTTGATTGAACCTGTTTTTGCATTGGTTGAGTTAGACAGTGGGGTTTCATACTTTGTAAATAGGACTTTTGTGGTGACATACAGACACAAAATCCTATGAAATCAGTTGTCAAAATGCGATAAAATGAAGCAATTCAAACGTGCTGTGAACAGATACAAATGCTGATAATAGAATCCCCTTACCTGAGGTTTCGTACTTTGGGGCACCTCTCTTACATTGTTTGAGTGGATCATCTTGGATATAGTCTTCCGCAGTCCATTGTTCTGACTCTCAAGCAGTGAGATCCGCTCAGCATTAGCTCTAACTTGATTCTCCATGTCCTTGGCTATGTCACCAGTACCTAGATGAAAATAGGTCATGGCACAATTTAACACAGCATTAGCTCTAACTTGATTCTCCATGTCCTTGGCTATGTCGCCAGTATCTAGATGAAAATAGGTCATGGCACAATTTAACACAGCATTAGCTCTAACTTGATTCTCCATGTCCTTGGCTATGTCACCAGTACCTAGATTAAAGTAGGTCATATGTGCTCAGGAAGTAAGATTAAGTATTGCCATTTCAATAGTAGGAAGGAAAGGGTCCCATTAACCAAGTGGAATAAATCTTTAATAAACATTTTGTATACCTATTGGGTGCCTACATCAGGACATTTGCTGTTTACATTGCCATCTCATGTCCCATGGTGTCCTTTATTGAGGGGTTATACTCCAACCCCAGGACACACCCCTTATTGGGAAAAATCTTTTCTAATAATTCAGAAATCTTGATATTTTGATTTCTATTAAAGACAAATATAGAAATATTTATAAATCATTTTAAGAAAGATTTTTACCTTGTGTATCTGGGTTGACAGGACCATTCAGATCAGGGTAACTCACCTTGTGTATCTGGGTTGATAGGACCATTCAGATCAGGGTAACTCACCTTGTGTATCTGGGTTGACAGGACCATTCAGATCAGGGTAACTCACCTTGTGTATCTGGGTTGACAGGACCATTTAGATCAGGGTAACTCACCTTGTGTATCTGGGTTGACAGGACCATTCAGATTGGGGTAACTCACCTTGAGTATCTGGGTTGACAGGACCATTCAGATCAGGGTAACTCACCTTGTGTATCTGGGTTGACAGGACCATTCAGATCGGGGTAATTCACCTTGTGTATCTGGGTTGACAGGACCATTCAGAACGGGGTAACTCACCTTGTGTATCTGGGTTGACAGGACCATTCAGATCAGGGTAACTCACCTTGTGTATCTGGGTTAACAGGACCATTCAGATCAGGGTAACTCACCTTGAGTATCTGGGTTGACAGGACCATTCAGAACAGGGTAACTCACCTTGTGTGTCTGGGTTGACAGGACCATTCAGATCGGGGTAATTCACCTTGTGTATCTGGGTTGACAGGACCATTCAGAACGGGGTAACTCACCTTGTGTATCTGGGTTGACAGGACCATTCAGGTCGGGGTAACTCACCTTGTGTATCTGGGTTGACAGGACCATTCAGATCGGGGTAACTCACCTTGTGTATCCGGGTTGATAGGACCATTCAGATCAGGGTAACTCACCTTGTGTATCTGGGTTGACAGGACCATTCAGGTCGGGGTAACTCACCTTGTGTATCTGGGTTGACAGGACCATTCAGATCAGGGTAACTCACCTTGTGTATCTGGGTTGACAGGACCATTCAGATCAGGGTAACTCACCTTGTGTATCTGGGTTGACAGGACCATTCAGATTGGGGTAACTCACCTTGTGTATCTGGGTTGACAGGACCATTCAGATCGGGGTAACTCACCTTGTGTATCTGGGTTGACAGGACCATTCAGATTGGGTTAACTCACCTTGTGTATCTGGGTTGACAGGACCATTCAGATCGGGGTATTCCAGGATAAGACGCTCTCTATCTTTTGCTGCTGTTAGTTTATCTTCAAGATTCCTGATTGTACTTCTCAGTTCATCAATTGTATCCTCTAGCTCAGCACTATCATGCTCCTTATTCTGGACCTGTGAATTAATATTGTATCGATATACCATAAATAGCAAAAATACTACAGTGAAACCTGTCTAATATGAATGGCACTAGGACCAGCCAAAAGTGTTCAGATTGGCAGGTGTTCACAATTTGAGGTTATTTTTTATTTTATTTTTTTTTATTATTTTTTATTTATTTATTTAGAAAAAATGTATATACAATAATAATACATGACTAATACTGACACCAAATGGCATATAAAAGTATAATGTCAAGTATCAAAAAAAGTATCACTAGCAAATATAAAAAAAATATATATATATTATATAGTCTAACTAGTTTACAAGGGTATATAGGTATATGAGTTTCATATATAGGGGTTATGCACTGGGAGGTTTTGGATACAGGGAATATCCCGAGGGATATACAATATATCTTCCCGAGGGACCGAAGGGACCGAGGGAAGATGTATTGTATATCGCAAGGGATATTCCATGTATCCAAACCGACCGTGCATAACTGGTGTATCTCATACTTGAGTGGGTTTAGGGTAGATATAACCCTTTCCACCTTTTTCAAATGACAAGATATTTATATTTAACATTTTCGTAATATTCTTTTTGTTCAATACAATGAAATTGTAACATTTAATTTTAAAATTAAAAAATTAAAACTTTTGAAAAATTCCCGGGATGGATATATTATATCTGCCCGCATTTGGCCTGGAGCGGGACATATACAAGATATCCTGCCCGCTCCTCAGATACGATATATATTCCCAGGTGATATCTACCCCAAACCCACTCAAGTATGAGATACATACAAGTATTTACATGATATAACATAGTACAATGCATACACTAAGCATGTATGTACGTTGTGTTTAAATGATGTGCCATGACTATTGTAATATACAATGCGTGGATAGTAAAACATGGGAATCTATGAAAAGATGGGACTGAAAAAAGTGTTCACATTGAGAGGTGTTCAGATTGGAGGGGTGTTTTTTATACAATAAATGTTGTCAAAACAATTTTGCACTTCCTTTATACTAGTATTAGACCCTCACCTGTTGATTGCTACAAGACTTTTCCAATGTTATCTTCTCCTGTTTTGCCTGCTTGATGCTCTTTTCCAACATCTCCTTCTCATCTTCTAGGTCTGCCACTTGGTTCCTCAACTCATCATTCTCAGCATCAATGTCATTCATTCTTTGAAAAAGGGAGTCTTGTTTGGCTTGGAGTGACTGAAATGCACATAATGAATGTATATGAATGTGAGGTAGTATTGCATCCTTTGAAAAGGGGAGTCCTGTTTGGCTTGGAGTGACTGAAATGCACATAATGAATGTATATGAATGTGAGGTAGTATTGCATCCTTTGAAAAGGGGGTCCTGCTTGGCTTGGAGTGACTGAAATGCACATAATGAATGTATATGAATGTGAGGTAGTATTGCATCCTTTGAAAAGGGGAGTCCTGTTTGGCTTGGAGTGACTGAAATGCACATAATGAATGTATATGAATGTGAGGTAGTATTGCATCCTTTGAAAAGGGGAGTCCTGTTTGGCTTGGAGTGACTGAAATGCACATAATGAATGTATATGAATGTGAGGTAGTATTGCATCCTTTGAAAAAGGGAGTCTTGTTTGGCTTGGAGTGACTGAAATGCATGTATTAATGAAGGTTATGTAATGTGATATGAGGTACAACTAGAAAAACAGCAACTCCACGGAGTAGCAAATCCCACCGAACAAAACATGTTTTGGTAAATAAAATTTGAGCTAAATCCATCCTCTGGTATTTGAATTATCAAAGATTGTGTTTTTATGAAACATGGTTGCCATTTTGAAATTCAGCTGTCATCTTTAGATTTCTCCTTTAGCAGAGCTCCTATGTCCAAAGGCATCAGCATATACATTTAATCCAAATCCGTCAACTGGTACTTTATCAAAGGTTACATTCTTTTATGAAAATGGTGGCCATTTTGAAATTTAGCTGCCATCTTGAAAATCCCTTCTCGAACAGAGCTCAAATGTCCCTAGGCATCAGCATGTAAAATTTGAACCAAATCCATTCAATGGTATTTGAGCTATCAAAGATAATGTTTTTTTACGAAAAATGGCCGCCATTTTGAAATATGGTGGCCATCTTGAAAATGTCTTCTTGAGCAAGGCTCCTTTGTACCCAGGCAACAGCATATAAAATTTGATCCAAATCCATTCTATGGTACTTGAGTTATCAAAGATAACGTTTTATTACAAAAAATGGCCGCCATTTTGAAATATGGTGGCCATCTTGAAAATGTCTTCTTCAGCAAGGCTCCTTTGTACCTGGGCAACAGCATATAAAATTTGAACCAAATCCATCCAGTAGTATTTGAGAAATCAGAGATTACATTTTTTCCGAAAAATGGCCGCCATTTTGAATTTAGTGGCCATATTGAAAATTCCTTCTCGAGCAGAGGTCCTACACCCATAAGGCATAAGCCTATAAAATTTGAATGAAATCCGTCAACGGGTATTTGAGTTATTGCCCGGACACACGAACGGACGGACGGACGGACGGCTTTTCTATATCCCCCTCGAACTTCGTTCGGTGGGATAATTATCGTAATAGTGATGTGATACCATATGTTTATGTATCAGTTTAAACTTGGTTAAGATTACCTGAAATTTTATCATCTTCAGCGTTAGTTGTGAACCCTGTAGCTTGACTCTTCTTAACATGTACAACAGCCCACAACCAAAAATCACAATTTATCTCTCACTTCTTTACATCCTATAATCTAAAACCAATGAGAGGGATAACTTAATAACAAACAACTTCCCACCTGGTTTTGCTTTGCAGCACTTTGATACTTTGCTTTCTCCCTAAGGAGATCATTCTGTGTTTGTTCCAGTGTTCCATTGATTTCATGCAGCTTGGTCTGCATGGCTGATATTGCACTGTTCAGTTCTTTCACTTGGCCAGAATTAACTGAGCTTTCATCAAGTTCTCTCTGGAGTAGCACCTTTTCCTCTTCTACATTAAAATTATATGTAATGAAGTTTAATTACCAAAGCAATTATTTATTCATTGGCTGTATGAGCATTTTTTCTAAGAGATTGCTATTATATATTAATGATGAAAGTTGGCAGTAAATGATATATCATCTTTGCACAAACGATAAAAGATCGAAAACAAAAGTGAACACCTAAGATTTCTAATCAAGTTAAAACTTGTTCTTGCTGAATCTAATCATTTCGACTTTCACAATTTCAAAGAGAACCTTACCAATAGATTGAAGTTCAGTTTCCTTTTGCTGTAGTTGATTTTTATAATCGTCCAGTTGTCCTTCAAGTTCACTTTTCTCTCTCCAGATTTCTGTTTTCTCTCTGTTCAGGAGATTAAGAGCTTCGGTGTTATCCTTCTCAATTTGCACCAGTCTGGTCTTATGTTGTTTCATTTGGGCACTTTGAGACTCTTTTTCCAATTCAAGTTCATGGTCAAAGTTAGCAACTTTTTGCTCAAGTTTTTTCCGACTTTCAATGTTTTTACTGAGATCTTTTTTCAATGGTTCTATCGTGGAAAGCAAATGGTCCAAATGTTTATTTATCCGATTTAAATCTTTATTTTGCTCTTTTGTCCATCGTGTGACATCGTTAGCTGTCAGCCAATCAAAATCTGGGATTTGAGTTTGGCGAAATTTCCTAAGGGAAGATGGTAAACCCTGACTGTTACACACCTGTTCGATGACGACAGCTGACTCATTCAGACATTTCTGTACCTTGTCACATGATTCACATGGTACGAATGCAGTCTCGACAGTTTGGCTACATTTATGATAAGCATCATTTGAAATATCAAACACTGATCCTTTCGGTGTAGAATTCAAGCTAGTGTTACTCCCAGTTGAAGCTGTGGAGTTGGAATTTATCAGCAACTGTGCTGCAGATAGTGGCGCCTTTGTACCACCAATTGTGTTATTTGTTTGTGTTTGTTTCAGTTCTGCTATTGTAGCTTCTAAGTTGGAAATCTGGCGATTCTTTGACTTATTCTGAAAATTGAAAATAACTTTTGACTATAAATTTGATTATAGTAGAACCTCTGTAAGTGGAACATCTTTGGCACCTTGAAATAGTGTTCCACGTTGGAGGTGTTCTACTTTGAGGATCATTTAACAATTTAAAGTAACAAGACTTCAAAAAGTGTTCTACTGATAATGAAGATATCAAACCTACAGAGGTGTTACTGTTCCACTTTAGATGTTTTTTAGTTTTCCATATTGAGATACAGCAGTTTTATCCAATCAGAATATGTAATCAGAAAATCATGAAAACCAAATTTTCTGCCTGTAAGTTACTGACAAACTGCATTATCATAGCTGCATTTGAGATCATTAAGATGTCATCATATTTTTTAATTATTAATTAAAACACTAAAATCACCTGTCATAGTAAGAGTGCAAAGTGATAAAACATGTGAGATTCAGGGTACCTCTGATTTCAGCTGTGTGATGAGAGTCTGCATCTGAACTGTTTTGTTCCAATACTTCTTCACAACCAATCCAATAGACATGTTAGAGCCAGGGGGCTTAGCCGTGGTTGGCCTATTGGCAGCTAGACTCTGGTCGGCAAACCGTGACATTGCCTGGTATAAAAGGACCATTCTGTAATAAAGCAAGTGAATCTATTGAACATACTAAAAACACAGCCAATCCAATGGACGTGTAAGAGCCAGGGGGCTGAGCTGTTGTGGGCCTATTGGCAGCTAGACTCTGGTCAGCAAACTGTGACATTGCCTGGTATAAAAAACCAACTACAGTAAAACCTGACTAATCTGAATACTACTGGGGTGACCAAAATTGATTGGCAGTTTTTCTATTTCATGATTTCTTAACAGAATAGTCAATGGCAGATAAAAAAAATGGGATTGAAAAAGTACTCACATTGAGAGGTGTTCAGATTTGAAAGGTGTTCAGTTATACAGGTATTACTTTATTATGTGCAACAGCAGGGATGAATATTGATCATTTTGCATCATAATTTTGTAATTAGAGTTACAGAATCACGACAAAATAATGTAGGAATAACTAATAGTGCATTCATGAATCATTTCAAAAATCTTTAAATAAGAACAGCCATTATTTTCACAGTAACTAAGGCTTATGCAAGCAATACGACAGATAGTAATTACCTATCAGTATGAGACAAACACACATAAAAATATATAAGCAATAAATCAGTAATACATAGTATGAGATAAACATGTAAGTAACTCACCTATCAATAACCATTTCTAAGAGTACAATATGAGCCACTTGTCGGTCCTCCTCGTCATCACTATAATCATATGTCTCCAGAATGTCATCAATGTCAAGGTCACACGACTGTTTGTCTGGATACTTCCAAGACGGCAACTTGACGGGACCAACCCGAGAAGTGACGTCAACCACAGCAGACTGCAGGTCTGATACATCGTTTCTCAAACTTTCAATACAAAACTTACTCCCGAGCAAGTGTGCCATTGTATTTGGAATATCTGGAATACATGCACATATTGGTCAAGTTGACTTCTAAATTTTTTTTTCTCTTAGAATTAAGCATCTTCATAAAGTTGCACCAATTCTCACACGCAGATCCAGGATTTCGCGCAAGAGGGGGCGCTAATATATCCAAAATATGTATGAGAATGAATGTTGAATGTACGCTTTGGGGGTGCATCCAAAAAATAGAGTGGAATTAGAGGAAATCTGAGCATTTTCCCACAATTTAAAATGTAAATAACTTCATGAAAAAGACTTCTTTTAATTTGAGACAAGTTTTAATTTATTTTCTGGATACATTTTTTTAGAAAAATTTGAAAATTTTTAGAGGGGGCCCGCGCCCACGGTGCCACCCCCTAGATCCGCTAGTGATTCTGCAAGTAAGTGTCAAAGTTACCCCATTTCTCTTGTCGACATTACACCCAAAAGGCACAGCTTTCTACACTGTTCAATCCAAGTTCTATAAAATTTTGAATTTTCTGAATCCCTCATTCTCTCTCTCACACAGTCTCAGATTCTGACACCTGAGTCATAATCAAGAATCTGACTGACAGACAGTAGTAGATCTATATTCTGGTGTAGCCTTAGCAAGTTAGTCTAGATTCAGATATCTACAGTAGCCTAGGCTGTGTTATTTAAATGTAACTTGCCTAGGTATCCATTTATTGGTCACTTTCATCGATAAATCAGCAATATATCTGTGAAAAAAATTGTCGTCAGGAAAGCTTGAAAAATTCTTTGATTTATCTAGAGTACAAACTATATGGAAATTTTAATACGAAAATATAATAATTATGCCAATTAAAGCCCAAAATTTTTTTTTATTAAAAACATCTTTTAAAAATCTTTATTTTCAACTTTTATTAAATAAAAATTATAGCAAATTTTAGTATATTTTAATTTGTTTCGTTTTTTTAGTTCTTCAAATAGTCTGACATTGATCTCTACGAGATCTCGAGCAGTTGTCAAATCAAATCTCGCAACACTAGGAAAAGAAGAATTTTTGTATTTTCTTCAATTTTAGCCTTGTAATAGACTGAAAGAATGAAATATGAGCAATAGCAATACAGTGAATTTGTTTATTAATTCATAATGTGTGAGATTTATAAATTTTAGTCAGACTGTTTACCTGAGAACAGCTGTAAACATTTGTTTACATTTCCTACACTCAGTCAATTCAACTCCAGTCCAAGTGCAACTGAACTTCTTACATGTGCAATACTTCAGTCGAGTCTGGAAGTGTGAATATAAATCAACTGTATACGACAAAATATCAAAGACTTACATAAATACCGACTGATTCGGATCTACTATACTATAACTATAGGCCTAGTGATCATCCTGTCATCTCTGGGAATAAGAAATGGTGAGTCTAAATTTTATGTATAAGGACTAAAACATTCACGGTGTGCTCCTCGCCTCATCACATTGAGGAAAAAGGCAATAGGGGAGAAATCTTGATGTATGCAATTGGGACAGAATATTACTCACTCTTACAGTACTGTCAACCCCCAAAGATTTTCTCACGGGACAGATTTTTAGACCCAGTTCCATTTGAGGGATTTGCGTGATTGCGCTAAAAGGTAAAACTTTGATCAAATTCGTGGGATTTCGCGGGACCATTCGAGGGACAAACACGCTACAATTAACAGGGTAACCACCAAAGACTTCAGAGAGGGATAATTTTTCTAGACAAAGTGCCCTAAATTCGCGGGATTTTGCGGGACATCCATCTTTTGCGGGATGTCGCAGGACATTCAAAGGATTTTTAATGTAAAAGTACTCTTGAATCAAACTTTCAGATACTGATTTATCAAATATAATGCACTTAACTTAAGTAAACGTCAACACAATTCCACACAATACGCATAGAACTATTATTAAACTATCAAAAACCACGCTTTAGGTGTGAGTACCGTAATCCGACACGAAATTCAAAAATTCTTGTGAATACTTTGCACTTATGGCGTTCGTGACCAACTATGAAACATTTACCCCCATAGTGTTATATATCACACTCCCCCCAGTTTTCTGCAAGTTAAAATGCTAAATTCTGCAAGTGAAATTAGTGAATTCTGCAAAGGGAAAAGGCTAATTCTGCAGAAATTCCGCGGAAAATATCGTGATAGATATAATTAAAACGGGAAAATTTCATGATAGTTACATAGGCAGTCACTACGTCACTACTCAATACATGCTGCCATCTAGCGACAGAAATCAAATGACGAAGTTTAAAACTTTCACTTCGCATAATTTGGTAATTTTTGGGTTATTTCTACAAGGGATTTGACTGAAAACGTGTGAAATTGTTGGGGAAATTGTTACAGGTAAGACTGACTATTCAAACTTTTGGAAAATATATCGATTCCGCGGAAAATTCCGCGGAGATTGACCAAAAAAGTTGATTCTGCAATTCCGCGGGCAAAGGCAAATTCCGTCCGCGCTCTGCAAACACGGAATCCTGGGGGCAGTGATATCAAAATGTACCTATTCGTATAGGGGTTCGATTATTCTACATCAAATTATGGGGAGTCAGGTTTCTTTTCGAGATATCAGTGTCCATTTATTGGAACTCGCGTTTGCTATCATTTGTTCAGTTCTGAGATGAAGGCCGTGACACGCGTAGTAAAAAGGCCAATGTTGGAACTTATCGTGACATACATCCCTATTTCCGTAATTAAAATGAAATTTGCACTCTTCCTCTTTATTTTGATACCAAACGGCATGCTAGAAGCCAACTATGGTGTTATTTGGATCAAAATCATAGTTTTATAAGTGTACTATATGCTCCTTCCAAAAGCAGTCTTCGATGATCTGATGCACTGGGAGTTCGGCAGCACTTTTCAAATAAGGTAAACTTGACTCCTCAAAAGTGCAAAAAGCTTAGCTTCTTATATCACAATATAATCACAATTATTTAGCCTCGGGGATTGTTACAATTTTGAAAATTCGCGTAGGTCAAAGCTGTCATTTGCGGGAATTCGCGGGACATTGCGGGACACGCGAATAAGCCAAATTTTGGTCAAATTCGCGGGATAATCCCGCCATTCGCGGGACACTTGACAGCTCTGCTCTTATGTGACAGATTAGACTCTCACTGGTACAATCACCCAATGAAGTATGACCATACAGTGGACTACGACTTTATACACCGTTACTAACTAAATATGAACAAATTGTATTGATCGGTTAAACAGGCAATTTATGCCTACTTACCGTACTTAAACTTATAAACTTATAAACTTATGTGGTGAACTGACGAAAGGTAGCCGAGATATAACGCCCTGATGGCCAAACTTACCGAATGTAAAGAAAAATAGAAGAATGTGGCAAAAATTGAGAAATTATTTGATTTTTCCACTGACGCGGAGCATGAAAAAATCGATATATAGGTTATTTACTGGGAGGGATTGAATATGGGTTTTATTCCGAGGGACAATATGATATTGACCGAAGGGTAATATGATATTGACCGAGGGAGCCCAGCGACCGAGTGTCAATATGATATTGCCCAAGGTCAATATCATATAAATAACCGGGAAAACCCAAAATAGGTTAATACGTTCCAATACGATTTTTGTCCCGGGGACAATACGATTTTTCCATGTAATACGCTCCAATACGATTTTTTCCCGGGGACAATACGATTTTTTCATGTAATACGATTCAATACGATTTTTATTCCTTCATATTTCCCTGGGAAAACAGTAGTATTATGGAATAAATAAGGATTCTTTCATGAACCTCATCAGTTCCAAAAATTTATTTATTTCTCAATTTTTGCCACAGTGTACTTCAATTTTTTATTATTACTTTCTTGAGCAAAATAAAAACATACCATTACCAAAATATAATTCCTTATATATTGTATAGGCTAAGACTATGAAGCTTCTGAAACTAAGAATATTCACAAATACAAATTGGGAGTCAGGACTAGTATAGATGGCAGTTGAAAATTTTTGAAGTTTATTTTGGATTTTTGAAGCAATTTTACATGTTAATGTACAATTACTCAGATGTGAGTAGGTAGTTACCAGTTTCGCCACCAGGTGGCTGATTCGGGGGAATTAACATGGCAGGGTATTACAAAATTCCCTTATAACTTGTGGTTCACTTTTCAAATTACCCTTATGTATCTGATAGTTTTACAAGTTAAAATATGTCCAGTAAAAGAAAATATTATCTGCCCAACACAAGAAAAGACATTTCACTTTTTGTGGTTTTACAACATGGGGTCTATGGGGAATCTCCCCAACCTAGAAGTCACATTTTCAAAGAAAATTAAATTTTCAAAGTTGATAAACTCTTTTCAAAACCATATTTTTAAGTGTAATCTTACATGTACCAAAAATAAATAAATTATACATAGTATTACATACCTAGCATAGCATTTGATAGAAGTCAATAGGAAATGTAAGCGAGCTATATCAACCGATATTGCCTGATTACCCCAATATAGCCCCGTTACCTCGTTTGACATTAGATCCTTTAATAACAATGACAATATCATGACGTCATCGATCAAATTCTATCCGCATTCAGATGTGTGACGTCATTAATACAAAGTAGCTATGGGAATAAAGGTATGCAATACATCAGTTATGTCACTATGACGTGAAATATGACTTCGTTATTGCCAAAATATAGAGCCTACCAAGGTCGGCCTATATTTGGAAAACTCAGGCATATTTCACGTCATAGTGACATAACCTCTAAGTATCCCACCCCAGGATTCCACCTCATAGATTACAATGAGCTTACACTAACCGAATAGGGGTGCTATCATAGGTACATGTACTACTATACAGCAGGGTTAAATTGCTTATTTACAAAACATTTTAACAAAAAGCTTAGTAAGGAAGGAATTTGTGACTGTAACGTTTTTTATCAAAATTCTTCATCAAAGAGGGATGTTGCTAGGAAAGCACAATCAAGACCCCAGAGACTTTTTTGCGTGTTAAGTCTCACTAACCATGTATTCGCCTTTCTACTTACCAACGAGAAAGCCCCAAATCCACTGCTTTATGTGCTAATTTTGCTTATGTGCTATCATGCATTGTTTTAAATATGCAATTTGCTCTACACATGTAGTTAATTAGCTAGAGTATTTTGTACATTCTGATTTATCAGTCTCTTTATCTAAAGCTTATATATTCTAAGAGATAGAAGAGACTGTGCCAAAATGTAATGTACATGATCTTTAGATTCTACTGGGCAATTCACAAAGCACTAAAAGAACTTTTTCTTAAATTTTTTATTTTTTATAATCACATATACAATAATTCAAATAATTAGGTTAAACATTATTATTTGATTTGCACTTTAAAGTTAGACTCATTTATACACACTGTATGTAACTAGATAGACAGATATAGATAAACAGAATAAAAAAGCTGAATTTGTTATTTCTAAAACTTTTAATACTTTTACTAGTTTCATCATGGAAATACTATTAAGGAGCATATAATTAGATGTTCGTGATAAAACAATTATGAATCACAGTGAGTTTTTCAGTAACATCTAACTGTTTTAATGTTTTTGTAAAATGACAGTCATCAGGTCTCAAGAGTCTAACATGTTGTCATAGACAAATGGGATTCCCTTCATTCTTTCCTTGTAGACTTTATTAAACATCTCATTCTGTGCCACAGTAAAGTGTTCTTTCCATGCACCAACAACCCCTGAAATAAATATCAAATGCTTGGATCAGATATCATTAGAATGTTATTGGTTTGA